TGAGCAGGGAGCCCGATGCGGGACTCGATCCCGGGACTCCAGGATCATGACCTGAGCCGAAGGCAGTCGCTTAACCAACTGAGCCACCCAGGCGCCCTTATGCTTGTCTTAATACATAGTTTCCAGAATTTTTAATTGTACTTAGCAGAAATAATTGGGGAAAGTACATCAATTCTATCTTCCTGGAAGCACAACCATCATGTATTTTTTTAACCTTTGTCCCTCATGATATCATTGGTCTGCAGGTTATATCTGGTTTACAGGGATGTGATCTGGGAAGAGGGTAATATCAAGATCTTCCTTTGAGAATTTGGTTTTATTTCCTGCCTTCATTGTATCCAGGGTGTGGAATGATTCTATTTGGCTACATCTCTTCCATCATTTTCTCTGGACCAGATCTCTTGGGACTAGGTTTGACAGCCAAGCAGTAGTTTCTTGAATACATTTCTCTGAGCTTTAAATGTGACTACTTTAAAGACCAATTTTTCCCACAAAAAAACTCTACCTGTGTTTGTTGATAGAGCATATAATATAGTCCCTGGCCATAAGTTAAGTGCTCAGTAACTATGTTTTTTTCTCATTAATATGGTTATTAAGGTTGCTTTGGATAAGTCCCTAGAGGATAAGAAATACTAAAGTTCTAGGACTTTGAACTTTACATGTCCCAAATCTTTTATAGAGTCATTTGTCTTAATATGTATATAACATACACAAAGTGCTTACATAGTGTCTAGCTTATAGTGAGCATTCAGTATATGTTATTTGCCTTTTCTTCTCTTTTTACTTTTAGATACTGGCCATTTGTTGAATTGAAGTCTTCTGTAAAGAGACTGTACCCCCTGATGCTTAAAAACACAGGCTCTTATATCAAAAACTCAAGTATCAATCTCAGCTCTGATACTTACTAAGTGTGAGACTTGGTCAAGTTGTTTAGCTTCGTGCCTTGGTTTTCTCACCTACAAAATGGGAACAATAATAGTAACTACTGAGAATTAAGATAATACTTCTAAAGAGCTCAGGAGAGTACCTTTAGATACACACGTGCTCAATCAATGTTGTGTTTCTGTTTTTGTTTTTTTTAATTATTCTATAGCAATGTGTTTAAGAGAGTTTTTTGGAGTCAAGGACTCTCTTATTTAAGTTTGTATCCTCAGAACCTAACATAGTGGTTGGTATGTAATAGGCACTTAAATGTTTCAGTGAACAAATATAGGAATGAATAATTGAATCAATTTGTCAAGAGATGAAATCTTAGAGGTAGCACAAAACCAATAGTCATTTCTGACTATTGGAGTTTCACAGGCTTATGAGAAGTAATTTTGGGAACGAGGTTCACTTAATGTATTTCTATACTTTAGCCTCAGCTCTTGCCACCATTGGGCCGCCTACAGAGCTGATTACTTCTGAAGTCACTGCCAGAAGCTTTATGGTTAACTGGACTCATGCCCCAGGAAAAGTGGAAAAATACAGAGTCGTGTATTATCCTGCCAGGGGTGGAAAACCAGAGGAGGTAATAAGGAGACGATATTTTCAAACTATTATTTTCACTCTTTCAAGTCTTCCACGGTAGTGAGGACAAGACAGAAATGCATGTATAAGGAGATTATTCTGTCACAAACATTTAAAATTCGTTGGACTGAAATATATTTCCAAGTGTCTACTTTATTCTCCCATCTCTCAGGTTATGGCATTCATACTTTCTCCTCCCATCTCTATCCAATAACCCTCAGAATGAGTCATGTGTTCATTTCTAACACAACTTATTTTGACTTTTTTCCTTTTTAAAATTATTAAGTTCTAAAGCAGAAGGAATCAGTAGTTCATTATATGGCCAGAACCCCTTTTTCCTATTCATGTAGTCTTTCTACTTTGGGAGTGGTCTGAATTGTCTGCCTTATTGAAGACTGTGTGTTCCAAATTATGTGGTCATATAGTCCTCTAAGGTTTGAGATTTCTGGGACATTGGTGGAGATTAGTGCAACTGAGAAGCCATAATAAAGCATCTGTGGCTGGGCTTTTTCATGGTTTGGCCATCACAGGAGAGAACGTGTATTGAGAGATGATTGATTGGATTTTTCCCATTTCCTACCTTTGACATAGCAATCACAGGGAATATGTTAAAATGTGATGAAATCTCCCCCCCCCCGCCTTTTTTTTTTGAAGTGCAAACCTTTTGTTGTTCCAACCTTTGGTTGACCTCAGCATGTTTCACAGTATTCTTCCGTATTATGGCAAGATTTTTAATTTTTTTTAAGTGTTCAAGAAGTAGAGCAGGGAAATTTAAATCATCTGTACTGAAAAAGAAGTCAGAGTGCTTCCAATACTTCTATCTTTTTCATGACTAATAAGTCTGTTAAATGCTTCCCAAAACTCCATGGAAAAATATCACATGTCAATTTTAAGTGCAGGTGGTTAAGATAACAATTAGCCTGGGAAAGACACTCTCCATCAGATATAACTTAATAAGGGACTTTTGGACATATTTCATAAAAGGTGCATCAATTCCCAGAGGAATTCAAGGAGAACTGACTGCCGCAGTGGAAAAGACGATGTGGCACAAATAAGAAAATATTGAATGATGTGTTCTTGCTAGAGATATTTTGCTCTTTGGTTTCAATTCTGCATGTCAGATATTCCATACTCTCATTCCTTGAACTGTTCTTTAATCAGGTGGTGGTGGATGGAAGTGTGTCTTCCACGGTGTTGAAAGGCTTAATGTCTTTAACTGAATATCAGATAGCAGTCTTCGCAATATATGCTCACACGGCCAGTGAAGGCTTACGGGGAACCGAAACCACACGTATGTATTGAGTTCTACCCCGTGTCTGACCTTGTACAGCATTGCTTAGGTGGCCTTTCTTAAGTTGGAATTCTGCTCAGGTTGTATTGATGGCCATCCTGAATCCAATTCCTAGGCAATGGTTGTGGTGCTCTATGTGATATGGGTCCATGTTGTAGTTGCAGTTTGCAAGTGCTGCATATTCAGAGGGATATTATAGACCTCTGCTTTGATAAGGAGAGAGCAACCTTGGTGATGAAGGACACAAAATATATGTACTCACTTAATAAGCAAGTATTTAGTGAATGTGTATTATGAACTAATTTAACTACCGACTCATTCATGTCTCCTCATTGTGTCTGCGTGGATGGGTATATATTCATTCACATATTTGTTCATCCAGCCACATGTTCTGTCATTTACTAAGTGACCCAATGACTGTGTTTAATAGCTGCCTCATGGCAGACGCTTGGCAAGGGCCATAAAACAGTGGTCAGAATAGTCTCCTTGCTCTTGACTGGCTCCCAGAGAAACGTGCCCATCACTGTAGTGGGATATAAGAAACTAGAAGGTGTTGTTCCTGCTTTTAAACATTCACTATGTTTGCCCTCCTGGAAGGGGTTGGCATAATTGTGTGAACATATTTAAGGATGAATATTATTTGAAAAGTAAACTATGTTTACTTAGTAGATAGTAACACCTAGATACTTTGAAATAGACAAGCATACTGATAAATGGCTGAACATTAATAAAAAAAATCTCTTGCAGTTGCTTTACCCATGGTTTCTGATCTTGAACTATATGATGTAACCGAGACCAGTCTGAGGGCAAAATGGAATGCAGTGCCTGGAGCATCGGGATACCTGATTCTCTATGCTCCTCTCACGGAGGGTCTGGCTGGGGATGAAAAAGAGGTAACCACCTGCTGCCTACTAGAGTCCTAGAATCTTTGACTTCCTGAAAATGGCTTTTTTTAATTCTAAAAGTTAAATGTATAAAATTCAGAAAATTTACATTAGTTAAAAGGGGAAAATCACTTGTAATCCCCCCACCTAGAAATAGCTATTGTTAATATTTGCTTAAGTCCTTTTTAATGCATTTTTTTAAACACAGAAAATGGGAATGGTTTTGTAGTCTCCTGTTTTTATTTTGTTTATTGTGAATATCTTTTCATACCACTAAATAATATTTTATATGGTTGTTTTAAATGGTGCTATAGTATTACATTGTTTTTTTGTATCAGGACATGTTTAATAAATTACACGTTATTGGGCATTTAGATAATGTGTTGAATAAATATGCTTTTGTGATCATTCTTAACATATAACTTTGCAAGGTTGTCAGATTATTTCCTTAGGATAAATTCCTAGAAATGGAGTTTATCTTTTCCAAAGGGCATGCAAAGGCTTATGCTAAGTATTAGCAAATGATTCTAGAGAAATTTGTTATAATTTATATTGATGTATGCAATTCACAGATGGTTGTTTCCCCATATGTACACTGACTTAGAAAGTTTTTTTCCTAATTTGAGAAGTAGAAAAATGGATTAGCATGGATTTTTTTTTGCATTTTTTCCATCTTAAATGATGAATCTTTGACTTTCAAATGATTTATTTTAGGCTTTGTTTTTAATTTATAAGGAATGATTACTATAATATAGATATTCAAGGAATGATGAGGAAATATCTGTAACACTTGGGAGTGTTTGACTAGGCAGATAGAGTGGTCAAGGGGGAGTTCAGAACTCAAATCTTTACTATTGTCTAAACATTGTCTTTAACATTGCTTCTGGTGACAGAAATGTTTAGGGCCAAAAATATGGTGAATCTGAGTGTCAGGAACAGAGCATTGGTGACATGTTTTTGTTTGTTTGTTTTGTTTTCGCCTAATGTTTAGAAAGCTTTAGTTCATTTGGATTTAATGTTGATCTGAATTATTTTGGCAGAAGGGAGACAAAAAAATGAAGCTAGAAAGATGATCAGCTTCACCAAGAAGGAAAAAAATAAGAAAGAAAGTAATACCAGTTCACACCCAGCAGATCAGCAGTTTTTAAACTTTAGTAATAACTGCATATTAGTGAGCATATGGGAAACAGAATTATTCATGTAAATTGGTATGTAAATTGGTACAGCTGCCTTGGAGAATAATTTGAAAGATATCATCAAGTTGAAGATATATATAACCTTTTAAGGAATATATCATAAGGAAACCTCCTGCAAGGCTTTTTGGGATGCAAGCATTTGTTCAAAACACAGTGTTGCAAACGATTGACATGTTCATCAATAGAGGGATGGAAAATAGCAGAATATTTACACAAAAGAATTCCATAAAGGAATTAATAATGTCATCTCTGTCCCTGCCCATCAACATGGATACACCTTGAAACAGAAATATTGACAGAAAAAAAAGTTGCAAAAAATTATGTTGATATGATTCCCTTTATGTACATTGTTAAACATACAGAACTGTATGTTATTTACAGATATATACATAGTAGAAGTAAATAACTGGATCGGTAAGGGACACCTCAACATTAGGGTAGAGATAGGGAACAGAAAGAATGAGAAAGAACTTCTGTTTTATCTGAATATGTTAGCTCTTAAAAATAAGATCAGAAGACATTGGAGGGTATGTGCTATGGTGAGTGCTGTGAATTGTGTAAGACTGTTGAATCACAGACCTGTACCTCTGAAACAAATAATACATTATATGTTAAAAAAAAGAAGATAGTAGGAGGGGAAAAATGAAGGGGGGAATCGGCGGGGAAGACGAACCATGAGAGACTATGGACTCTGAAAAAACAAACTGAGGGTTCTAGAGGGGAGGGGGGTGGGGGGATGGGTTAGCCCGGTGATGGGTATTAAAGAGGGCACGTACTGCATGGAGCACTGGGTGTTATACGCGAAGAATGAATCATGGATCACTACATCAAAAACTAATGATGTATGGTGATTAACATAATATAATAAAATAAAATTAAAAAAAATAAGATCGGAAGTCAATATGACAAAATGTTCATATTTATTAAATTTGAGTGGTGGGTGCAACAGGGTGAATCACATTCATTTCTCTACATTTATTTTGTATGTGTGGAAATATTTCAGAATTAGAATTTCTAATTTGACAATAACATTGGCACTTGTGTGATTGGAGACTGACTCTGGAGATATTTTTCTTCCTTCCAAAACAAAAATAAAACCATGCTGTCAGGCACCTGTCACACAACTGAGAATGTTGGCTAGTTTATTTGACTCCAAGGGTCAGAAAAGTCAGCCCGGAATCAAAAAGCAAATTGCCACGCTGGATGTCAAGGTGAAGGTGGATTGATCTCTTCTGCAACCTGGAAAGAACTTGCAGTCCAAGTGCATGGGCCCCTTTGTTGAATGGGGCAACAAAACTGGTCCAGCTCAGTCAGGCTTGAAGTGAAGACTGGGCACCCAGCCAAGGGACTGGTTAAAATTAGCCAGTGATGAGAGATGCCCACTTGGCTGTGTCCCCAGCTTGCTGACCTAGAGCTTATACTCTTTCTAGACAACATTTCTGACTCAGTTCCACCCACACTCTTCTGAGGACTAAATTTGTGACTCTGTTATTCTGGCTGAGATTACTACTTGTCCAGATGTGAAGCGTTATCCGAAAACAGCATGCATGGGTACGTTCAGTTTTGTATGGCCCCATGGCACCTGTTCCTAATATAAAATGACACCAGACAATGAAAAATTATGGCTGAAGCGTTTGAATAAGGGGTTGTGAGGACACAAAATCTTACTCCACAAGTCTCACCTTTCCTCAGCCACACTCTGATCAACATGAATGGTACACATTGGCTAACGATCTGCTAACGTGTGTTCTTTTCAGATGAAAATTGGAGACACCCACACAGATATTGAACTGAGTGGGTTGATGCCCAATACGGAGTACACAGTTACAGTTTATGCCATGTTCGGAGAAGAGGCCAGCGATCCTGTCACAGGCCAAGAAACTACACGTGAGCAGCTCAGTCATTCAGAGGAAGTACTGGAATAAAAGCCCAAATACCTGTTGGGATTCTAAACTGGGAATACTGGCTTAGGATGAAACCTCTTAGGAGCTAATTGTAATTTAAGAAAATGTGTATTTTATTTAGTGGCAGGAAATATACCAGTTGATTAAAAAAAGGAGGGGGATGGTCCTAAAAAAATGATGTCTCTGGGTACCTGTTCCTAGGACTGGCATTTTTATCCAGAAAGGAAACTAGACATCGTTCCACCCAACTGCTAAATTTAACTGAACTCCAGAAAAATTTGGAGCAAAGCGTACACAACACTTAAAATAATTATATTGCTTTTCTCTCTCCTATACTTTCTCTCCAGCCCCTGAAGTATTAAGAGAGTCACTAAACTCTATAGGCTCTTTATGGCCAAATAGTCAATATGTATTGAATGAGTGAAAAGAATTGGTCTTTTCACTTTTCGCTAATTGGGTGAGGAAGCATCGTACTTTGTGGCGATGGCTGACAACTGTTATTTTTTGTCTTCTAGGTGTTTGCTTTGTTGGCTCTCTAAGCCCTCTATCACAGGCTCGTGAATCGATTGATTGATTGATTGCCTGGGTTTAACTCTAACTGCTCTTCTGTTCCTACTAACTGTGACCTTGGCCAAGTTACCTCAGTTTTATGACCTATATAATGGGGATATTAGAATCTCCTTGCAGGCTATTGTAAGGGTTTAATGAGAGACATGAGTTATAACGATCTGTTCCAGAGCATCTCAGACTCATAGAGCATGTGACAAACCTTAACAGTTGGTTGTACTATAAGCCTGTAAAAGCTCATGAAACTAAAAAATTATTGACAAATTTTAATCTGTTGAATCAGGAGAGGGCCCTTGAAGAAGTACAGAAAACTATGGAATTGACAGGAATCTGCAGAAATACTAATGCCTCTTCATATAATTTTAGAGCAACTGCAAAGTGTTCATTTTTACACCTTCCCACAAAGCCAGTGGGATTTATCCAGGGCAGGCCTTCTACTCATGGAGTCAACAAATATATATATTGAGAACTTGCTACACTGGGGATAAAGCCGGGAACAAAATTAATCCCTAATCCTCTGAGGTTACAATATATGGAGGGAGAGAGACAGTAGATCAATAAAATCACAGTATAAGAAATAAACCAGGGACGGGAGTTGGGGATGGGGTGGAAGCATTATTTTACGGACGGTGATCCTGGAGGGCCTCAGTGGGAAGGTGACCTATGTTCAGAAACCTGAACGTTGGATGACTCAAGGGTTTTTGGCCTGAACAATAGGAAGGATGGAGTTTCCATTTGTTCAGAGGGAGAGATTGAGAGAGAAGATTGGAAAAGTTGGCAGGAGTCAGTAGTTCGGTTTGGGACAGGTTAAGTTGAAAATGCCTAGTAGATCCCCAAATAGAGAGGACAGAGGCCATCAACCTCGCTTTACACGTGGGACATTGTGGAGAAGACCAGCAGAGTGATTTGCCAGCATCGAATGACAGTTGAATGAAATAGCTAAGATTTAATTTCAGGTGCCCTGGTTTTTGATCCATTAAGTTTCTTATTTATAGCAGGCTGTAATAATAGCATTGATCGGAAAAGAAAGACACAGAAAATGTACCTAAATCTTATTTATTTCTAAGCACGTGTAACTTATTAATACTATTCATTCCTTACAAGGAAAGTTTTTTTCTTTGTTAACTTGTTCGTTTTCTTTGTTGTAAGTTATTATCTGGGTAAAATTTTTCATATGTGAGTCGTTTAGAAATCAAAGATGCTGGGGTGGGGGGTTTTTTTTTTTTTTTGGCTTTTTTAGGTGTATGTTATTTAACATCTTAATTATTTTCTATTCCACTTACTGCAAAGTGCCTTTAAGTCCACCAAGAAACCTGAGAATCTCCAATGTTGGCTCGAACAGTGCTCGGTTAGCCTGGGACCCAACGTCAAGAAAGATCAGTGGTTATCGAATTGTATATAACAATGCAGATGGCACGGAAATTAATGAGGTAAGCTGTGGATCACAATTTCTATTTTTTTTTTTTTTTTTTGGTGGGTGTATGTTAGCTTTTTCTGGCTGCACAACCGATCATTCCCAAAACTATAGTGGCTTAAAACAATACAAATTGTTTATTTTCTCTCACAGTTTTTGCCAGGAATTAGTGCGTCAACTACTTGGATCTATATTTCTGGCTTGGGGTCGCTCATGAGATCATTGCCAGATAGTGGCTGCTGCTGATGTCATCACAATGGCTTTTCATTCAAATGTCTGGTGCCTGGTCTGGGAAGACTGGGTCCGCTGGGAGCCAGAGCAGCTCTCCGTGTCTCCAACTAGACTCTTTACATGATCCCTCCAGCATGGCAGTTTTAGGGACTTGTTACATGCTGGCTCAGGAGTGCCCAAACATGTGTCCGAAGAGACAAAGAGAAAGAGAGAGAGAGAGAGCACTAGGTGAAAGCTCTGTCACCTTCAGTTACTCAGAGAAGTCACAGAATAGCTAAGATTTAATTTCCGGTGCCCTGGTTTTTGATCCATTAAGTTTCTTATTTATAGCAGTACCTCCACCCCATGCAACTGGTAGGAGATATCACAAGTCCCCACATGGATTCAACATGAGGAGGAACACAGGTCCCACCTATGGTGAGGGGCAGGTGGGATGGGAGATATATGTTGATGTGGCCATCTTTGGAGTATATAGTCTGCCCCGGTGCAAGGAGGTGGGGAAGTAGGTATCTTCCTAGATGTTGTAAACTAGAATTAATGTCAGTGTAGTCCACTTTATCTCTCTGCTTTCGAGTAAACTACCATCTGAAAGATGCTAGTTAGATGAGTTAAATACAAAACTGAGTAATTCAAGTTTTGTGTAGGAAGATACTTTAAAATAGCAGAACTTCCTAGAACTCATGAAGATACAGTATCTTATACTCAGTCACTAATAACTTCTTCACAAATAATAATTTCTCCACAAATTCCTTCCTTGGGAATATATTTTAACAGGTTAGATAGCAAAGTTATTATTATTTTTCCTCAACTTGATCCAAGAAGTTAAGACCAAGAGGGAAATATGTTGGATTACATCACTTCTATTTTCTGACCAGATGAAGAAACTATTTTCATTTGCAGAGACAAACTGTTTCCTACAATTAAATCCAAGCAGTATTTTGCAGAATGCCCCCTCACACGGGACATTGGATAATGAATGCACAATACTGCACATTTGCTAATATTTGATATTTGTATATATTGTGAAATCATCAGCACAAGAAATGTACTTAACATCCTGTTAACAACAGCTGTTGTGGCCTCTTATGGTATTTTAGGTTATTTGCCATTATAAAGAATGACCCCAGACTAATATATTTGTTGAAAACTACATGTGTTTTTTTGTAATGTTTTTCTTGGAGATGCCTTTGGCACTTGCTATTTCTAATTTGTATTGTGCTGGGAAATTAGAAAACTGTATTTGGTAAAACTGAATTTAAAACATGAGAAAATGGTCTATGAATTAAAATCTGAGAAAATTTTATTTGAGTAAAATACATAAACAATATGTGGTTTTACTGTAGCATTTCCAGTTTGACTGGTGTGTATATGTCTGTGTGTGTGTGTGTGTGTGTTCTTATTTCTTAATTCTTAACCATGCCATTGAGACTAAATGTTGCTAGACAAATGTCTTTTGTCTAAGTGTAATATTACTTTGCCTAATTTTGGCATATACGATTTTAAGGGTGAGTAGTCCTACTATATTTTGCTTTAACTTGTGTTAATTAAGCTTTTATTTACAGGCAATGCTATAGTTGGGTTTTTAGGAAACTTCCAAAACATTCTGGAATGAACTTTAAAATGTCCCAACCAAAATCTACTTAGTTATATAACCTGCCATTGATCATAAGCTTTTGCTTTTGACTCAATTTCTATTTCTCTGATTTACTTCCTGTTCCTCCCATCTTCCCTCCTTCACTTCCTCTTTCTCCCTTTTGTCTTTTCTGTATTATCCCTCTCTCCAACTGCTTGGAGACCAAGGAAGAAAAATGAAACAGGGCACCCAAATGTCAGTGGTGATGATGGTGATGGCCGCTAACCCGTGCTGAGTGCTTACCTTGAACCAGCCACTGTTCTGAGAGTTTACAGAGAGCCCCTCAGGCAACCCTTAGAGAAAACATGCTGAAAACATGGCTTGTCAGCTGAGGACAGGGCCATCTCAGAGAGCATGTGCTGGGAGAGGACTTGGGGAAATGCGCAAGCAGGATGGAAAACTAAAGTGCTGCCATTTGAGTTTTATAAATGAAAGGCCAGTTTTTAGACTCAAACGCAAGTCCAGTTCCCGACAGCTGTGACTCAACAAGAGAGCCCAGAGCGGAGCCCAGTCCCTTGTTCCTCATCAAGGACTCTTTCTTTATCCATCCCAGAATTAGACTGAAATTAAGCTTTCAGGCCAGACTGTTTGAAAATTTTTCAAAAATAGTTATATAACCATGAGATCATGGTCATTTGTTATCATCTTCTCAAATTCTTCTCCTACATCTTAAAAGTACTACCAACAAAATCAGTTCCAGAACTCAGTCTAAAACATAATATAACTAATAAAAATAGATTACACCTTAACGTTTTCATTTGATGGAATAAAATAATCAGTAGTTAATGCATAAAATATGGTCTGTTCAAAGTCAAATAATGCTTTAATAAATAAAAGAGATCTTTTCAACAGATATATATATATATGTTTCAACATGTATGCTGAAAAGATATGTACGTATATGCATATGTATCTATGTACATATATAACAGGGGAAAACTGTGTGTGTATATACACACTTTTTCCCTTTTTGTCTCTTGGTGTACCAAAGAAAGTTTGATTTTTAACTGCTTTGTGTATGTTTGGTATCTTCGTGAAATGCCTATTTGTCACAGATTTGGGACTTAGAAGTCAAGGCATAACTACCCATTCCAGCTAATAGATTTATGTCCTGGAAGTTAGTTTAGGTCTTTAGGCCTCCCATTCCTTGTTTGTAAAATAGCTATTATAAATACCTAGGGTTTGGTGGGGGGAAGAGGGGGCTAAACACGACAATGAATGTGAAGTCCTTGATATGTTTAAGTGCTCAGTAAACCCAGCTATTATAATCCAGAACAACAGAGGCAATATGTAAATATCATTTAGAAGAACATGTCTTGAACTCCTATTTTAAATACAGATTTGTCTTTTCTGTGAGTTTAATGAAGCCATACTGTGCATGGGATTTTGAGTCCTATAAAATACTTGTGTTGATGCACTGGGTACTAGCTGGTTTTCCATTGGCAAGTTCCTTAACTTTTCAGAGTCTCAGTTTCACCATCTTCAAATTAAGGGTAATAATTAGCTACTCTACAAGGTTGTGGACTACTGGTTAAAGGAACTAATACACAGGAAGCATGCAGACAATACCTAAACCAAAGTAAACATTAAATGCTAAGAATGACCTATAATATTATCAGACCCAGATTCAGAAGAAGATAATCAATATTTTCAGTTCACTCCTGTAACTAATACTCTGGCTTAAAATAATAATCCATGATTATGCAACCTGGGCAGAGCTCAGCAAGGACAGCTTGGCTCTGCTGATCCATGTGGCGTCAGCCGAGGTGACTCTTGCATTCATGAGGGAGCTTGACTGAGCCAGAATTTCCAAGATGACTTCACTTCTGTGTCTGGTATCTCAGCCAGGGTGGCTGAGGTTGGTTGGCCCTCTCTAGAAGAGTGGCTAAGGGTTCCAAAAGGATGAAAATGGAAGCTCTTTCCCCCAAGACTCACACTCTCTTTTTTGACCTGCATTTGATTTCTTAGCGATGTATATGGTTTCTGGATTGCTCTGAGTTCTAAGGAGCCCTTTATTATCTTTCTTAAAAATGATCTTTGGTGCCTCCTCTGTTCACTCAAAAACAAATATAATTCAACATGCAGTACTGAAGAAGCTAAACAAGGTCCTGCCCTGGAGGGGCTTACCCTCTACGCAGGAGAAAATAAATATATAAAATAATCGCAGGCTGTGTTTGGTGCTGGGAGGAAACAAACAAGCGCAGTGTTAGGGGATAGCCCTACTGAGGTAGGTGACAAGAGAAACCTCCTGTCAGGAGGTAAAAGTTAAGCACAGTCCTGAGAGATGACAAAGGTCTAGTTTTGAAAAGAGCTAGGATCCCAAAAAGCATGAATTGCATGTGCAAAGGCCCTGAGGTGGGAAAGACACTACCTGAGAGGTCAGTGTGGTTGGAGCCCAGCAGGTGATTGAAATTATGGCAAGAAAAAGAGCACTGCTCCAGATTATGCAAGACCAAGAGGTCATCGCAGGATGCTTGGTTTTGATTTGGAAGGCAACAGAGGTAGCCAAGGAAGGTTTTAAGTAGGACAGTGACACATTTTATATTTTGGTAAAGGTCACATTGACTGCAGTGAGCAAATCCATACAGTAAGCTTAGTCAACTTCCCCTTAACCTCAGGTGCTATCAAGTTTAGTCATTGATAGTATTGTAAATAATGGATCTTACTGATATTGCTCTAAATACCTCTTGAAAACATTTTAAATGGTATCTTTTTTTGGCAGAGTCTGCTATCAGGTAAATAGGTTCATTTCTTCCATTCCTCAGCATCTTATTATTAAGTGCCTCCCCTACAGGGGTTTTGGAAGGGTTAATCGAGACAATGTACAGAAAATGCTTAAGTCAGGCACCATTTACTTGGTCTAGAATATGCCCCCAGTGCTATGTAGCTCAGAGGCCCAAGACCCAAACTTTCAGTGATAAAGCTGTGTGTGTTTTTTCTCTTCATGGAGGATGGCTTTGCTCAGGGCTCTGTGTTCCAAATCCTGCTTCCATTTCTTCTTACTTTATGGTTTCTCTCTCTCTCTTTTTTTTTTAAGATTTTACTTATTTATTTGAGACAGAGAGAATGAGAGACAGAGAGCATGAGAGGGAGGAGGGTCAAAGGGAGAAGCAGACTCCCTGCCGAGCAGGGAGCCCGATGCGGGACTCGATCCCGGGACTCCAGGATCATGACCTGAGCCGAAGGCAGTCGCTTAACCAACTGAGCCACCCAGGCGCCCTTACTTTATGGTTTCTTTCTTCATTCTTTGCTGTTCCCTTTCTAATCCTTCCTATACCCTGGGTCCTTATCCTTAACACTTCATCCCTTATGTACTCTAAAGAGATTGGTACATATTTTTCCCAAATAAATCTCTCTGTGGAAGATAAAGGAATATTTCAAATGTTTACTATGATCTTTGGTGTGAATATCCCCTGATTCTTCCCCTGCATGGTTGCTCATCTGGGTAGCTCTTACAGGAGTTATTGTGTGATAATTCGTCATGGGTCAGGGAGCCCAGGCAGTGAAGCCAAAAACTGGCTGCTCCTAGCAGATCAGGCTGGAAACATTATATTTATTTCTGGTAGCATTGTCAGGTGTGTGCACTTTCCCTTCTAGATCTTTAACGAGTGGAAATAACGTTGTTTGCAAAGATGTCCTCAGAATTAACGGAGAGGTAATCTATTTAAAGGTGAAGATTAGAATTGTGTAATACAGAAGCTGACTGATTCTAGAATTCAGTAATATTTTGGAAGTCTTTATAGCTCTGCTGCCAGGCCCAGTAAACTACAGACAATAAGAAAATGCCTTTTGTTTCCTGTGTCTGGAGAGTATCGGATGTAGCTGGTCCGACTTCTCTGTTTTGCAGGTTGAAGTCGATCCTGTTACTACCTTCCCTCTGAAGGGCTTGACGCCGCTCACGGAGTACACTGTGGCCATTATCTCTATCTATGATGAGGGGCAGTCGGAGCCTCTGACTGGAATTTTTACCACGGGTAAGCCTTATTACGATTTGGAAGTTTCCAAGAGTAACTATATAGAAACCAGAAGCTGGAGCAGCTTCCTCAACTGTGATTTTGAAGAGATTGCATTTTGATCTTTGTGTTGTATTATTATTATTTTTAAAGATTTATTTCAGAGAGAGAGAGAGAGCACACATGCTCATGTGGTGGGGGGAGGGGCAGGGGAAGAGGGAGAGAGAGAATCTCAAGCAGGTTCCCCACTGAGCACAGAGCCCAAGATGGGGCTCTATCTCATGACCCTGAGATCACGACCTGAACCAAAACCAAGAGTTGGATGCTTAACCGACTGAGCCACCCAGGCGCCCCTACGTTGCATTAACAACTGAACAATTAGGTGACTAGAATGTGTACTGCTTAATTATTTTCTATCAAAGCAAGGGAAAGAGAGGAAAGATCATCTAAATTCAAAAGGTCCCAGTTAAATAAATGTGTGTACTCTTCTATTCCTAATCTTACACCATTTCTTTTTTCTATGGGTCTAAAAATTTCACAGCTTTCTTCTGTTTTCATATGCATGTATGTTAAGTTGAACTTCCAAAATTGTTGATACCCAACAATTTTTTGACCTGCAAGAATGACAGTTTCATACTATGTAACCTAAGACATCAATCTGTAGCCAATAATATATTCATGCAGCCTGATATATTAATACAACAATATGGAATCTTTTAAATACTAAAATAAAAAACATAAGGCATGACTGCATGATTTTCCTTTTCTATGTATACTCTGTAGTCAATAAATACAAAAATTTTTTGCCTCTTGGTGGCAACAATTCTATTGTTTGCTTTCTGAACTTAACATTGCTTTGCTTGGGAAAACAATTGAGTGCTATACTGAGGACAGGAGGAGCTATTTTGGAGAGAGAAGAAATATGCTCCATTGAGAAATAATGTTGACAGAAAAAAGTTCAGTAATTCCGCAAAACTTCCTGAGGGCTAACTCCAGTTGGGATTCTCCTGGTGTCCTGTGAAAGAGTTTTAAAATCTCTAATTTCAGGGTGCTTGGGTGGCTCAGTGAGTTAAACGTCTGCCTTCGGCTGAGGTCATGATCCCTGAGTCCATGATCCTGGAGTCCCGGGATCAAGCCCCATGTCGGGCTCCCTGCTCAGTGGGGAGTCTGCTTCTCCCTCTCCCTTAGCCCTTCCCCCTGCTTGTGTTCTGTTTCTCTCTCAAATAAATAAATAAAATCTTTTAAAAAATAAATAATAAAATCTCTAATTTCAAGTAATAAAAATCAATGACTGAGAATGACTGACACACAGTTGGATGTCGGGCTCTTGTACATCCCTGAAGTATGAAACTGTGGAAGATCTGATGAATCATCTTTCACTTCCGATGGCACCCATATGTACAAGATTAAAAGGATGTCAGGTTCTTCTTTAACTTATTACAAGGGGATAATTTAAGCACAAAAGCAAATAAAACTAACAGGGACATCTCCCAGACCTTGAGGACACCAATTTGTTAATTTCCTCAACATAATGAGAAAATAATATCTTGGTAAACTAATGAATAGGACATTCTTACTTTTTATAGTTCGTGAAAAGAGCCAAATAGAGAATCTAAGAGTTCTGGAAATTACTGGAAGACTTTAAAAACTGTGCTGTGTCCATGGTCTTTCTGATTTATACCATGGGTAAATGCTGGCTGCAGAAACTTGAGGTCCCACTGGGCTGATGGGCATGGCTTTCTCAGCTTCCATGTGCTTTCCTAAAGCCAGGGGTTCCTCAGAGAGCCTTCTTCCCACAGCCCTGGGAGCTGCTTGAGTTTGGCTTCCTTGCCTTCTCCATTCTCTGACAAAGTCTCCTTCCTTGGCTCACAGAGGAGGTTCCAGCCCAGCAATACTTGGAAATCGATGAGGTGACGACAGATAGTTTCAGAGTGACCTGGCATCCCCTTTCGGCTGATGAAGGGCAGCACAAGTTGATGTGGATTCCAGTCTATGGTGGGAATACTGAAGAAGTGAGTTGTCTGAAATAGACTGAAAAGTAATCTGGAGCATTTTCTCTGGAAGTGGATACCCACTGCACATTTGAGTTAGTCTTCACTTTAGAAGAGATTGAGAATCCCAGAAGTAATTAATATTTTGCCTGGCATAGAGTTTTATAAATGTCAAATCAAATGATTTTTCTAAGATTAAAATGTTATTTTTTTGGCTAGGGTCTTCGTCATATATACAATATATTTTCAGGTCCTTTGACTTTCATAAATGACATTGAATAAAAAAAATTTCAGCTGGTACTTTTGCAATATTAATAGCTTGTTTGTTGAGGGAATGGAAAGGAATTAGGTCTCTACTTTGAATTTAAAATTGAATTCAGTGGCCCTGGAGTTCTTCATGCTTAGTTGTTTCTTGCTTATGCTCAGGATAACTTTTTCTCCTTTTTATTATTTTTTCTTAACTTTCACTGCTATTCCAGTAAACCCAATTACTAAGCACCAAATGCTTTTCAGGTTCTCCTAAAAGAAGACCAAGACTCACATGTTATTGAAGGCCTGGAGCCCGGCACTGAATATGAAGTGTCGCTCTTGGCCATAATGGATGATGGGAGCGAGAGTGAGGTGGTAACCGCTGTGGGGACCACACGTAAGTGTCAGTCTGGCTGAGGGGACTTCACCAGTGGCCACCATCCATTCTGATACCCTCCCCCGCCCACCTGGTTGCCTGCCCATCCACCTTATTCCTGCCTACAGAGGCTTCCATTTCTCTATATCCCCCAGAGTTCTTCATGTGCCCTCACCTTTTTAATGAAACTGCTATGTGAAGCATATGAGAATCCTAGGCTATCACCATAAAGGCAGAGACCATATCTGTCTTGTTCACCATTATGTCCCCAGCAGTAGCATAGTGCTTATTATATTTTAACTGTGCAATAAATACTCGTTGAATGGACGGATGGATGGGTAAAATAATTTATAAGTGAATAAAGGAGCGAACAAATAAGCTGAGGGCAAGCATGTCCAAGAGCTTTTGGAATTTCCCAAGTCAATCTTGGTTCCAAGAATCTTGTATAAAATGCACTTGCTGATTCATTCATCCCTTCATTTTTTAAATATGAGCTATTAACCACATATTAAATTTTCTTTGATGAGGTTCCGTGGAATCAGATTCTGAGACAGAAAATTGCATCCAGAAGGTTAATTGAAGACTGTAGTTGGGAGATACATCTGTAAGAAAGTAAGGATGGCAGGATGAGGCATAGGGAGAAGCTCAAACTGAGCCTTTGGCTAATTCCATGAGGAGTTCTGGACCTGGGATGACCCTCCGCAGTTGTCCCAAACTGAGTCAATGAGGCTGAGCCTTTGTATCCCTGCATCTCCAGTATTTGGAGGTGGGCCATCCCATAACAGAGTCTGTGACCTCGGGGGGGCAGTTCCCAGAGCTCTGAGCCATTGGCAGCCAGTATTCCAGAAGCTGGTGATGAATGTGTTGACCCTGAAGAGGGGGCTCTGGGCAGAGAACCACACAACTGCTCCAATGCGCTGGTTGCCCAGGGTGAATACACGACATAGAAAATGCACTTATTCTCTTCCTTGGTGGTCTTGTTTGGCTGCCCTTTCACAGCATGATCTACAGCACTGTTTATTTTCCTTTAATTACCATGGTTATGCCCCATTTCACAGTAACAGGAGGTTTCACAAAGTTATATGTGTAATTCAAATGTTTATCTGAAGGCTAGTATCTGTGATTAGAAACATTCACTTCTTTGGGGTTCAGTTTCCTTATCAGCAGAATAGGTATCACGTCTGCTTTATTTACAGCTCATTTCTTCTTTCTTGCAACCAGAGTCAAGGTGGTTGGGAGAAACAAGTGAGATAATATAGGTGAAATTTTCTTTGAAAACTATAAAATGCTATACACAAACATGTAGTTACGATCATTACAGAATTTTAAAGTAATGAGTATTTTTTTAGTTGACAGTTTTTGGACCGAACCATCTACGACCATAGCCCCCACCAGCCCTGTGACGTCAGGTAAGGACAAATAGAATTTGTCCCCATTTACCCATAAGAAAAGTTTGATTTAAACAGAAGTTATGTTGTCCCAGTTTTATTTATTTTACATTATTCTTTAGGAATGGGGCCTTCCAATTCAAATTTTATTCCTCTTAGAACCTCTCAACCTTTCCTTAGCCCTAAATGCCAATGAGTCTTTGGACTTCACTGTGACATCTCTACTTGTTCCATCTTTGTTTTGGGTTCCTATTTAGTCTTTCAGAGAATGTTCACATAGCACAGCCCAGGACTTTATTCCTTCTCTTGATTACAGTGACTTCTATTGTCGTCTGTTGAGAATTACTCACATCATGGTGTCCTTGCATTTCTGTGGGTAACTGAGACCTGGCTGGTCTAATGGGCTTCCCACCTCAGCTATTTTCTCTTTCAACTTAACTTCCGCCTCCCTCACCCCCATTATGATACACTTTCCAACTAGCTGTCAGAGTCAACTAGGTGAAACACAAGTTTGATTATACCGCTTTTTTTCCCACCTAAAACCCTCAGTGGCTCTCCATCACCCATTCATTCATTCACTGATTCATTCATTCTCCAGTTAATCTTTATCGAGCCCTTCTTTAGCACAGTGCCCCAAATCTCTTTATCATAACATCCAAGATCCTTCTGCTTTTCTTCTTGGACTCAGCCATATTTTCCAAGCTCTCCCATTTCCTCCTGCCATCTAGAACTCCTAGCCCTGAAGGTGAGACATTGTCTCTCATTCCCACTACCTGGTACCCTCCCCCAATTTTGCCTGCTAAATGTCACTCTCTTCCCTCCTCTGTGACTTTTACTATTTTTGTCAAGTGTTCATCCCTGTGTATCTCAAAGGCCTAACACAGTCTGACATAAAGGAAACACTCAGTGAATGTTTGCTGCGTGAATGGATGAATGAAGAGAAGAAAGAATCACTGGAGATGGACAGAGTGAAATGAAGTCAGATGGGATAAAGGAGGGAGCCAGCATCTCGGGAGAGGAGAAGGAGTGTGTCAGAGAGCATGGGTGAAGGAGTTTGGACAGATATCAGAGGAAGGATAATATCCACATGGGCTGAATGGATAGAGGCAGCCATGGTGAGAGATGTATGCTTTGAGTGACAGGTGTTGAAATAGAAATGAGGGAACAAATGAATAGGATGTATGTTGGATGCTGGATCATACACTGAGGTTGACCCCATCTGGTCCCTCATTTTTGCTTCTCCAGCAGAGCACTGGTGGGAGGTGTTCGTGGGCATGCTCCCCTGGAGGTTCCCCTTGCCCAAGGACTTCTCCCCAGTTCCCTTTACTTATATATATATATATAGTTTTGAGGGGTCCATGGTCCACCTTGTAAGTATCTCTTAAACTCATTTCTATCTGCCACCCGTAGATATGATGCCCACCCCCACCCCTGCCATTAACCACTAAAGCTGAATTGTTCTTCATATGACTCTACATTAGAGAGATATATTAAGTGATATTTGTTGCCATGTCCGCAGACGGTCTCTAGAGCTCATTTTGGAATATGATGGGTTAAAAGTTCTTTAATCCTTGGTTGTGCTTATTCCAGTTTTCCGAACAGGAATCAGAAACCTGGTTGTAGATGACGAAACCACTTCTAGCCTGCGGGTAAAATGGGACATTTCAGACAGCAGCGTGCAGCAGTTCAGGGTGACCTACCTGACTGCTCAAGGGGACCATGCGGAAGAAGTGGTAGGAACGGTCTGTATATGTACAACTGCCTAGAAACCATGCAGTTCCCTGACTAACAGAGCTTATGAGGCTGTCTCCAGAGATCTGTGCAAACTGGACTGCTCATTTCTTGGTGACTCTACCATCTCCAGAAACTAATGTTTTCTGTTCATGCAGACTTCACTACTGGTTTCTTGATGACCTTTCTATCTCCAAAACTAGCTCCACATTCGACTTGCTTCAAATTGAGCAAGCTTCTGAAACTTGTCTCCCATGCTGCTTCTGCTGCCCTGACAATTCATTAGAGCACCAAAGTTGGGTCATACATTGTCCACTGCATACCGTCACTGTGTGTATATACAGTTGACCCTCGAACAACACGGGTTCGAATTGCGCAGGTCCACTTATATGTGGATTTTTGTGATAAATACAATACAGTCCTGTGTATGTATTTTCTCTTCCTTATGATTGTCTTGATAACATTTTTTTCTAGCTGACTTTATAGTAAGAATACATCATGTAATACATACAACATACAAAAATATGTGTTAATCAACTATTTACACAAATCGGTAGGGCTTCTTGTCAACAGAAGGCTATTGGTAGTTAAGTTTTAGGGGCGTCAAAAGTTATACATGGATTTTGGACTGTGCAGGGGCTCACCAGCCCTAATACCTGTGTCGTTCAAGGATCAACCACACACATATATAAACTTCTAACATATAGACTTTTAATATATACACATATACTAAACTTCTTTGCCCTTGGGAATATGATTAAAAGTTTCTATGCAAAGCATGCATGAAAGGTTGTCTTTATATAGTTGAAGTGTTCCTAATAAGAGAGCATCCATTAATACATAGTTATGTTTTTCACTGACATCAACTCATTTTCGGCAGTTCTATAGTCATTTCTAACTTATTCTTGAATCTGACTGTTTCCCTAAGGGGATTTGATTTTTATATGCTGAGTTTTCTTTGTTTCATCTAATTTGTTTTTTTATATTAGAAACCTGGGTACACTTTGAGTCATGGCCTTCCCGTGTTTTCTTAATTGACACCATATCATTCCTTTTATTCAAGAACATGAACATTGTTTCCTGGATGTGCTTCCTATCAGACCAGATAACTCCAGTTTGCATCTAAAGGAAATTTTTCTTTTTAGTCATGGACTATGCCTTCTTTAACCTCATTACTTGTATTTCTTGCCCCCTGCTGCATTATTTTGAGACACTCTAGGAAAGACATCTCCAAATTCATTATTGCTCAATGAATAACATTATTATCCTTTCTTCCTCCTCCTTACATATAAAGCCTTTGATGAAAAATTATTTTCAGTTATGTGCTTACATAAACAATTATTTGAGCCTAAAATTGTCTCAGGAAAGTATTTAATTTCAGGCTGATAGAGGACTTGTTACAGAGCACAATGATACCCTTTGGAATAAGTCAGGTGCGCGGTGAATAACCAGAAGGTCCATGAAATTGGTCTGGGGTGCTTTTAGAAGGTTGATGGACACTTAAACAAATTAAATTGAGTTATAAATTCACTCAGATCATACATTTCAAATGACCCATGATTGAAAAATTCAAAATAAGATTGTACTTAACAATGGTAACTAGGGACATAATTTGGATGTTTCATTTGCCCTGTTATTGCTCCATATTTTAATTTAGTTCCTAAAAATGAGACCCGTAAAAACTTCCCAGAATAAGAGTTTTGTTTTTTATTTCTACTCTTTCCAAGAAACATATTAAGCTTCTTGCTAAATTATCTTGCAACTTGGGAAGACTAACAATTTAATCTCATGCATGTACTTGTAAGTTATGCAAGGTAAAATAATAATAATATTTACTTTGGGTTGTCTCTAGATAATATTCCCTTTACTAGTTTCTTTCATTTCACACTGTTTATTTTGAAACACTTGGACACCTACGTGAAGGAAAAAAAAGATCAAAAGTCTGAAACACACATGTGGCCCCAGTTAAGCAAACCCTTCATAAAAATGAAAAATATTGATAAATTTGGTGGTGATTATTTACTGTGCAGAAGTGTTTTTGCTAAACCGAAGAAAGTACTGTGGAATTTTAAATATCAAGCTCCTCTACCGAATTCCACTTGAATTGGATTTGTACACACTTAATTTACAGGCATATTTTCAGGGACCCAACTGAGGATTAATTGAGAATTCATATCTCAGTGTTTAGGAAATATTACTTCTACATAAGTGTATTATTATTATTAGAGACAGAAAGTGGGTGCATCTAGATTTAGATTATAAAACAAAAATAGGGAGGCGGTTGCAAATCTGTAACAAAATTCAAAGGCCTTGAACTCCCAACACCAAATGAGTATCTTTAAGTAATAATGCATGACAGAGAAAGGCAGAGAGCTAAAGCACATTATAAAAGTGAGAAAGTTGTGTCCAGATAAGAGAAATGCCTCTTACCGTCTTACCAAATTTTCCTTAACTGTAAAAGCTCATTAGATTTGCTTAAGGAAATGATCAAATGAGAGCATCGTATTCGTCTGTAACATTAGTAAACAAAGTAAAACTTCAGTATATGGAAAACAAGGAGAATTCAATTTCCTTTTCCAGTCGAGTAAGTGAAGTATTCATATACTTGCTAAACCTAATCAAATCTACCAAATATTTCCAATAAAAAGCTTTTGAACTTGCAGAAAGTAAAGCTACTTGACCGGCAATGACTTTGCCCTGAATTTGTTGTCAGGTTATGGAGGTCTCACACTTCTTTATTTGTGAAAGGCTGATCAGGATTTCAGACTTTCCTAGAGCCTAGATGTCAACATCCATAACCATGACCTGAATTCTGATTTGCAAGAAATGTTCCAGAACACGTATACTCAGTGTGTGGCTCTGTCTCCTACAAGATAAGTTCGGAGAGTAAGATTAAGCTTTTAGAAACATTTATAGCGATTTGACGATCCTGCAATATCCAAGGACATGATCATTTTTTCCAGAAATTTTGTTTTATTGTATTTTATAAAAATATTAGTCTTCAATAGATTGGAGTTAAAATGGCAGCGCCAAATCTACCCAGCCCCCTACCACAGATAGCATTTGACTCACTGTCTAGACACAGTTTTATAAGGTAGGAACACAATGAGATGCAGGGAACCCTATTTCTACTGATGGGATCCAGGCTGCTCCGAACAGCTTTGGACAATAATGGAGCCAGACATGAAGTTCCATTTCTAAAAGAAAATTTAAAATGTGAAAGTTCACTGGTTAGATTTGCATCTCATTTAATCATAAGCATCTTTTATAGAACTGTTTTATAAACAAAACTGCCATCTGCTGTGATCTGCTGCATCTGTTTTTAGTAAGAGCCCATCTTTACCCTGCTCTGTGCAAACAAGCAGAGGCCAAGCAGAAGGAACTTTGCATTCCCAAGAGGAGATTTACATTTTATTCTTGGAAATGAATATCATTAGGGTAAAAAGGTTCAAGTGGTATAGCCACATGGAGCAGGGTGTAGTGGTTAAAGCAAGGCTCAGGCTAGATATCCTGGATTTCAGGATGGCTTCTTTACTCAATAGCTGTGTGGGCCTCAGTTTCCCCATATGTAAAATTCATGTAAGGTTACTCCTTACCTCAAAATGTTGTGGTGAAGAGTAAGTGAATTGCTATATTAAAATTCTTAGGGTAGCATCTGGCGCGTAGTAATTGCTGGGTAAAAGATGACTATTATTATAAACCACAGCAACTACTTCCTAACAAGCTCAGTGATTCCTCCAAAATGGCACTACTGCTTTCAGAATTCCACCGTCTAAATGTGATTTATTCCAAGCCCGTGCATTTCTCAGTTTGAGAGATGACCTTATTTAAGGAGTATCAACATGGGTGGTTTGCTAAACAGACAGCTTGGACCGAATGCCCAGGCTCTGTGTTTCGAAGGAGTTCTGTTTAAAAGAAGTGCCCTGAAGGAAGTTACATTGATGGGGTAATCCAAGTCAGGGCAACCCCTGTTCTTCCTTTACCTGTCCTTAATGCCGGGCTTATCTAACTCATTCGAGAATAAAGCAGAGCTCTTTAAAAAAAAAAAAAAAAATCTTCCTCCCGGGTCCACATCCATACAGCCCTGTAGTATATTTCAGTGTCCCTTTCATTCAAGGAGTAAAATCATACTAATTCAATATAAAATCACCTAATTCAGACTTCCTTTTTAACAGTACATTTTAGAAAATTGCTTTTAGAGCTTAGCAGTATCTTAGCAACAGCTGCTTCTGGGTTCAACTCGAGGCTTCCTAGGGCTTATTCCATGATTTATAGGTCTCTTCCCTCATCCAGAAGTAGACAGCACAGCCCTTTGCCTGCTGGCATTTTACCCAGCCCTTGAATCAGAAAGCATCTCCAGCGGTCCCAGTCTTGTGACTCCTTGAAACATGTTTGGGTCAGTTCTTAGATCTTACTTAGCATTTTTCCAGCCATGATTAAGTTCCTCAGATGGCCCAGAGATGTGCCAGCATCTGACTGCAGAAGCAGAGGCAGAAAGGCTTGTGGTTTTAACATTGAGAACATGTGGCTTTTCTGGTCCATATGCTCTTTGGGGGGATACCAGAATTTTCACTACTGAGCCACGTGGCATGTTACACTGATGCTTGTGCAGTGTGGACCTCACCCCTGCATTTCCGTTTTTGTAGCCTTGAGAGGTAGAGTGATGGTGATTTCAGATTGAGGAAGACATCTCCTTTTAGAAATAAAAAAGCTGCCTCAGTTTTTAGTCCTACTGCTAACTCTGTTTTGCTCTGGAAAACGCGGATTTAATGTGTGGTTCTGTTGTTCTTGGCTAGTTTCCATTCTTTTCTAAAGTGCTGGGATTGGATTATGTCTGAGAGAGTAAAGAATGGAAGGCTGAATTTTCAAGAGGATACTTAAGTGGAATAAAAAATGATAAGCAGGCTGGGTTATAGAATGAACCCTCCTAAGCTATAAACACCTGCTTTCCAAATAGATAATGATTCTCACTTCTGGGTACTTTACAAATGCTGAAAAGATGTTGAGAGAAGATGATTCCTCAGAGCCTAATTGCTTCAAATTTAAACCTGCTTTAGAGGTTATAAGCTGAGGGCTGCTGTGAGGGGAATTCCAGAGAGAAATGCTTTTGCACGCATGCCTCTTTTTCTCAAGCACATTGCCTTGCTTCTGATTATTTCCAAGTCCCCATAGTCCTGCTCCATTAGTAAAACAACAGGAATAAAGGTCTTAAGCAGCACCATGGTCCTTTGTTTTTCTCTTCAGGTTATGGTGCCTGGGAGCCAGAACAATCTCCTTCTGAAGCCTCTGCTTCCCAATACCGAGTACAAAGTCACGGTGACTCCCATCTACGATGATGGAGAAGGTGTCAGCGTCTCTGCCCCTGGAAAAACCTGTGAGTGAAGCCTTCTCTCTGTGCCTACTAGCTGACTAATTAATTGAAAATGCCCATCCCCTGCAATGTGCCCCGAAAGCCACAGTGGAGTGTGGTGAAAAGAGCAAAAGAGATTGAGAGACAGAAAAATCTGAATCCTGTCTCCACCCAGGCAAGCTGTATGGCTTTGGGCAAGGTGAGCAAGCTGCTCTGGGCTTCAGTTTTCTCGTGTGTAAAAGCTAAGATTTAACAAACTACGTCTTCCTCTTCCAACATCTAATTCATCACAAGTCCTGTTGATTCTCCAAAATGTGTTCTGCGGGCCAGTCCTCTTTTGTCTTCATCTGACGGCTCCTCCCTGATCCACGCCTTACTCTCTATCACTAAAATGAGCGCTTCCACTCTTTGATCCTTCACTCTCCTCCCGGCAGCCCGAGAAGCTTCTCAAAATACCAATCATCTCATGTCAGAACTCTGTGTCAAGTCTCCCAATGGCCTCCCGTTGTACTCAGGATAAAATCCGACATCCTTCCCGTGGCCCTACAGGGTGCTCTAACACCTGGACCCCACCAATTTCCTTAATCTCACCTCCTAACAAGCGTCCCAGCCATACCTCCTTTCCTGCTCTTCACTGGACATTTTAAGCTTGTTGCTGCCTTAGGACCGATGTACTATTCCTCCCATACAGAATATCCTTCCCCAGATGTCTGCATTTGGGGCTTTTTCTTGCCATTTTGGTTCCAGCTCAGTCACCTCCTCAGGCTTTTCTGACCACTCCATGCAAAGTAGCTCCCACTCTCCTGTTCTTTGGTTGTTGTTTTGTTGTTGTTGTTTTATCATGTTATGGCACTAATGACTACCTGATATTTTCTTGTTTACTCATGTATTTGTCTATTGTCTGTCTCCCTCCCTTGGAGAGCAGCAGCATGAGAGGCCAGAACCTCATCCATATTGTTTGCCTTTTCATGCAAAGCTCCTACGGTGCTGGGTGGCTCAGAGGGGGCATCACTCAGTGTTTGTTTTGGGTGACTTGGCCATGGCAGTCAAGCAAGGAGCATACACCAAGGAGCACACCATTGGTTAAAGGCACTACAAAGTCTTAGCTGTCTTCATTGCTGTGTGGTTGTCTGTACTTGCATGAACTACCTCAGAACCCAGTGGCTTCAAATAGGAACCATTTTATTCTAGTGCATGATTTTATAGGTCAGGAAATTAGGCCAGGCTTGCTGGAAATTCTCCTCCACGTGGTATGGATTAAGGTCACCTGGTGGGCTGAGTTGGTCTAGAGCATCCAACACAACTTTACCCACATGTCTGGCTGGCATGTTGGTGGGGACACTTGGAAGGCTGGACTCAGCTGAGCCTCTCTCTTTCCATGTGGTCTCCGAGCCTCTCCATGTACTGTTTCCAGCAGGAGAGTCATAGTTCATACGTGATGACTCAGGACTCTAAGAGCAAGAGTTCCAAGAGGTGGAAAGTGGGAACTGTCATGATAGTTAAGGGCTATGTTTGGCCCTGGTACAGAGTCACTTCTGCTGTAGTCTGTTGGATGAGGTATTCATAGAACCCACCCAAATTCAAAGGGAGGGCCATAGCCTCCACCACTCAGTGGGAGGAGGGTAAAAATCCTGCACCCATCTTTAATCCACCACAGTTACCAACCAGTTATGTATGACTGGGTGCAGAATGGCGGCAAGGCCTGAATTCTGTACTTGGGCGCTTAAGTGTGACTTTTTCAAGTAAGTATACAAGCCATGAAAATTCTGTAGCTGCTGGATTAAAATAAGCACAGTGAATTCTGTTGTTCTGAGTCAGTTTTAGATTATTTTTAACATTCAAATATTCAATAAAGTTACTGTAAACCCTGCCGCTGTAGGGAGGGAGGGAAAGGGAAGGAAGGGACGCAATGGGAAGGCAATGGGGCTCCATCTAACTGCTGCTGACCTGGGCTCAGAGATCTACTTTGAACTGTCGTATGTTAAAAATTAGCATAATCTCTAAAAGGCTTTCATGATGAGCAAATATATGCACTCGCACAAATAAAAACCATTTAAAGACTTAAATCTTTTGTTTTGTTTTGTTTTGTTTATTCTTATGTTAATCCCCTACATCATTAGTTTTAGATGTAGTGTTCCATGATTCATTGTTTGTGTATAACACCCAGTGCTCCATGCAGAACGTGCCCTCCTCAATACCCACCACCAGGCTAACCCATCCCCCCACCCCCCTCCCCTCTAGGACCCTCAGTTTGTTTCTCAGAGTCCATCGTCTCTCATGGTTCGTAAAGACTTAAATCTTATTGCAGAAATACCACCACATACAACAATTATCTATACAGTAGAATTATTTCAAGGTGTTAGTAGATGATCTTCCTATTGTAAGCAATAGTCAACACAGCTATGTTCCATCAACAGTAACAAAAATGATGACAGTAGTATCTGTCAATACGCACAATGGTTTACAAAGGTTCTCCATATAAATGGCTTAATGTTTTAATAAAAAATTGGTAAACAATAATATATAGTTTCGAACAATATAGGCAATATGAAGATGAAAGCAAAAAAAAATCACCAGAATCTTCCCTCCTGGAGTTACCATCATTACCATGGTGCGAGCACCCTGGATATTGCTGTACAAACATACTTTGATAGTGGAACACAGTGGTGTATAGACAGAAATGTTTCATAAACACTATTCGATTCAGTTTTACTCAAAATAAACTGAAGACAAAAGAATGAGAATGACCTTGAATGAACTACTGATCTTCACATGAAAGTGTTTCACCACGAGAATTAATTTTCTATATATTTAATTTTTAGAACAACCATAGACTCTCAAAATCTCACTGTGTGTTTTAATACATTTTTACTTGTAAATATTTTTAACATTATGGGAAGCTAGCTTAGATTTTGTTAACAGTGTTGTTTGTAAAGATGGAAACTACACTAAACCACTGGTTTTGCTTTTCTCTGCTCAGTGCCGCCCTCTGGTCCCCAAAACTTACGAGTCTCAGAAGAATGGTATAACAGGTTGCGCATTACATGGGATCCCCCACCTTCCCCCGTAAAGGGCTATAGGATTGTCTACAAACCTGTTAGTGGTAAGTAGTGCTTTGTAAAAAAAATATTGTTACCATAATTAGGGATCTGAAATGGTTTTCAAGGTAAGTTATTTTTGTTTTGATTTTCTATCTATCTTTGCTTTTATCTTTAGTTTCGAGAAGTGGGAAGGGTCTTAACTTTTTTGAAAAAAATTTTTTTTCCTTGTATGGTTAGTTTTCCTTGTATGTATGGTTAGGCTTCTGTTATCAGAACAATGAAGTTATGACTCCACCTAAAAAAATGAGTGGGCATGTTTTTGAGCAGAATACATACTTGTTATGCACCTAACCTAGGTGCACCCCAGACAAGGAACCAGCCGAAGGACATCTTGACTTGGTAGGAGTAGGAAGCTTCTATGGCTCAGTGGATATATAAGCCCTAAACATTCAGAATCTCTAATTTCTAATTCCTCTTCTATCTCTTCTTGGATTAGTAGGAAAAAGTTGGCTTACCAACTTCTTAGTCTCTTCATTTTGGAAACTGTATTGGAAACTGTATAAAATTTGGAAACTGTATAAATTTCATCAAAGCCCTAAGGTTGTGGTTGTAAAATGCTTTTCCATCAGCCTCTTAGCCACCTGGATGAGGAGATCTCTCACTCTCCTTCCCTGCCACATCTTTCCATCCTGAAAGCAGGAGAATGGCGCCAACAGGGGCAATCATGGCCTTGGTCCAGATGTCTGGAGAGATGAGGCGCTTGTTACACTATGAACTCCTGACATTAAGCACTTCTGTGAAGCTTAAACAGGAAACTAAAAGTAGATATTAGAGGGGTCTTGTCCGTTTTCTGGACTTGGGCCTTCAACTCTGATTATTCATAAGAAAGGGGTTCTCTAATTATGTTTACTGATTCGGCAAGAAAATTTAGAGTATTCTTTCAACCATTAAAATCCTCTTTCTGCCTTCAAAGAGCACATGAGGCTCAGTGTGTCATCTGAGATGTTGCTCTTGCCTCTGGAACACTTTTCACCTTTTTCTATTGTGTCCTATTATCCAGGTCCATACAAGTAAAATACCCCCACCTCCAATTTCTCCAGACATCTCTAAGAACTGAAAATAAAATAGCAAGAATATACCATGGATGCACTGGCTTGCTCAAGACTGACTCTTTGCGATCCATCACCAATTTTGTGGTTGCTTTTCTTTAGGCCTGAAGCATGTGTTAATTCATAAAACAGCCTTGCTAGATTCGTTCTTTGGACCATTTTGTAAATATTTATCAGATGTTCTGAGGGAAAACAGCTTTGTTTTAGTCCGGTGATTGTCAATTGATGCAATTTTGCAGCCCAACAGAGAGATTTTTGATTGCTACAACTTGGGAGGATGAGGGGTTGCTATGGGCATCTGACAGGTACTGTTAAGCATCGTACGAGTCACAGTACCTCCCCCTGCCCCCTGCCATCCCAGAATTAAGAATTATCCAGCCCAAAATGTGCATAGCCCTGAGGTTGAGAAATCTTGCTCTAAGTTAAGTGGGAGAATTGTATGTGGTCGTTTGAGTTAAGATTTTCGTGCATGAGAAAATCACTACTGAGATAACATGCACATATAGAAATATATAAATACGTTGTTGGGAGGGGGTTCTGAAGTAAAGTAAGGAGTATTTTAGGACCTTGTTAGTAACTCAGAACTCTTAAAGTATGAGCACAGATGGGAAAACGCAGGAGGAATATAAGTTTGTGTAGGAATGTTTTTAATGCTAAATCAAAGACTCCCCTGGGCTGAAAAAGAGGTGAAAATGTAAAGACACCGAAGAAGCCAACTGGTCAAGGGCCTTGGGATAATAGTGTCATCTGTCTGTTCTTAAAAATGCTCAGAGGAGGGGATAGGACTGGTAGTGGTAACATTTATGCTGGACCCCCATGTGGCAAGGTACAGCACAGTGTCCAACGTAAAATCTGCTCCTCCTGTCTCTTGCAGGCCTGCTGGGACAAGGCTGGGTGTCTGAGAAGGGACAATTGAGAATGACTTCTTTAGTTTGGCAAGTGCCCCAAAGCCTACAAAGCCTGTGGCGATGTAGTCGCTCCACTGTGACAGCCTTACAATGTGGCAGATGGCGGATTGTGAGGTGGACCAGCTTCTCTGAATAAGCACTAGGGAAAGAACTGTATTTGAGGGAAAGGACTAGATCCCTAAAAAGAGCCCTAGCCTGGTAATCAGGTATGTCCGTCTCAGAGCCAGATGGGGCTAGGTTCAAAACCCAGCTCTGCTGTTTGTCTTCTACGTAATCCTGGGCAACTGAAACACAGTCAAACCAGTACAATTCCCGTCAGGAGTGTTCCCATTTTTCCATATTCTGGTGTAACCGAAATCACTCTTTCTCCCTTAGTTGCTGGCCCGACCCTGGAAACTTTTGTGGGAGCTGACATTAACACCATTCTTATCACAAACCTCCTCAGCGGAATGGACTACAATGTGAAAATATTTGCCTCCCAGGCCTCAGGCTTCAGCGACGCTCTGACGGGCGTGGTGAAAACATGTAAGACTGATGTCCCGTTGCCTCAGCCCCTGCATGTGGTTTTGCTGCTTTGTTTTCACTGTAACCCAACTCCTGCTTCAACTTGGCGGTTGGTTTTCATTTTCCTCAGCGTTGCCCTTTCTGGATGGTGTTTCATGGAAAGAAAAGTGCGCTCCTCACTCAGGGCTGTGTAGTTCAGCGTCCTGGTTGGCAGGCTGAACATCAGAACCTGGCATTCAAATATACTTGACGGTGGCGGGTAGGATTTCCTTCTGGAAAGTCTTTGTTGGCATTTTTCACATTAGGTGAAATTTTCCAACCAGCCTGTAGCCTGACATGGCCAATGCCAGTCAAAGTTGGGCCGGAGGGGGTTGGGGGTGGGGGAGGTTTGCCTTTTCTCAAAGTCTTTGCCCCTCCCCCCTTATGTGAACACACACACACACACACACACACACACACACACACTTGCCACCCATAAAAGATACAAAAAGGACTTTCTTCTGTACCTTTTAAGGGTTTTCATGCTGTCTGCACACCATCTGGGACTTCTCATTGGCATATACCACTTCCAGACAGCCATGGTATAAGAATGTTTTCCAAACTCCAGCACGTATGTTCCATATTCCTCATGTTTGTTATCCTTCCACACCATCTGTTTAATATATTTCTTTAAATCGACTTACAGTTTTTATAACTTAAATACTTTTCAAAACCCACGTAATTATCCTAATACACATTAAAGATAATACATAAATAATGAAAATAAACATGGTGTGGCTGTATGCTAATTAAAATCATGCTGAGTGCTCTCAGCTGTGCGAGCCCCACACCTGAGAAGGATAGTCAAAAGTAGAAGTCTTAAATCTGCCACTTATTGGCTGTTATCTTGAGCAAATGACTTAACTTCTCTGAGCTCCAGTTTTCTCAACTCTAAAATGAAGATAATAGGCTAATTGTGAGGCTTGCAGAAATAATGCATAAAATGTCTGCCCTATGGCAAGCACTAGTGAATAGCCATTATTATTATTGTAATAATTGTGCTTTATACCCTTAGCCCATAAGTCACTGTCATCCCTCATCAAATAATTTATCTGATGAATAGAATGTTGCAAGAATGGGGCACATATTAAACCAGACCCCAAGCCACTTATATTTGGCCACCTACATGTTAGATAGGGCCAGGCTTTTCACTAGAGGAGGCTTCCTGAATCTTTTTGTATGGATTATTTTAAGACCTTAAAGGCTGGATTACAAATCAATTTAATCTCAAAAGAAATAGTCTGTCTTCAACAGATCTAGGAAGATGTTGGCCTGTGGTTCTGATCTCGTACTTGGCTGGTGCCGTGATACCATTCTGGGCACCAGGGTAACCTCCAAGGGATTTTCCTGTTGTTCTATTATAGCAATCCCACTGTCCTGCCTTAGGAGCACCCTAGACTCTCCTGCACATTTTCCCTCCCCCTCTCTTCCCTTCACTGGTTTATCTTCATTTTCCTCTCTAGATCACTCTTTCTCTCAGGGCCACTTTTTCTGTCGCTGTGATTTTTTTATTGGCCTCTCTTCTCCATGCTCTGTCTTGTCTCTTTCTATCCTCTTTTCTCTGCTTCTCTTCTTCTTCTGTCCCATTCCTCTTCTCTCCTTCAATAAATACGTTGGGTATTCCAAATATGTCTTAAAAGAGAGTATTGAATTGTTTTATATTCTGTCCTTAAAGTAAAAATTAGATGGGCTTTTTATTTGTTTTCTCTCTTTCTCCCAAGCAGAGTAAAAGCCCATACAATGCAAATAAATTAATTTAAGGAGTTTGTTAAATTTAGTGTGGTGACATAAATCATCAATGATTTCCTTTTTTTTTTTTTTTTTATGGAACAAGAGGGCTGATTTATTCGGCATTGGGAAAAGAGGTCTTCTCTCTAATTTAACAGAAAGGAACAATGTGAAGATGTAAATTTTGATTAGGCAAGATTATTTTTACCATCTTGAAAAATAATTTTAAACTATTTTTGTGATATAAGGTAGCGAAAACAGAGGGAAAAACAAGAGAAAATGATGTGGACAAAAGTCAGAGGTCATTAGAGAAAGTAAATACTAATTTTCTACTTTTTCTGCTTGAGTCTAAGTGATAAACACCAGATACTTACTCCTTTCTTGTATTGGAGAAACACTATTTTTATTGCTTCCCCCAGATAACCTTTCTGTGAATCATTTTTGTATATCATTTTGTATATCATTGAGCTTTATCAGAGGCAGATTTTTCAGTTATTACCATTCTCAGGTACATCTACAGTTTGGGACTTAGTTCTGCGATGAATAGGAATCTGTGTATTTGTTTTTTATAATTTTTAATGTGTTAAATCTTTCATTTTTACATTTTCAAAAACGTGTTCACCTCCTTCAATCACGTCTTTGAAGGCCAGTCCTTATGAAACTGCTCTTGTTTGAGTAAGACTTCCCTTTTGTCAATTTTCTTGTCCCTTTTATTGAAGCCAAGGCCATCCTTCAGTGGTCGATAAGTGCATATTGTATTTAATTTTTTTATAAAAGTATTATATATTAATTGTGGAATATTTAAGAAAACACAAATAAATAAAGAGGGAAGATTAAAAATCACTCAGAATTTCACCCTCCATTACATCTGGTCTTTTCCCTGTGAACAGATATTTCCTTTTTTGTTTACAAGTATCAAACAGACCATATCATCCATAATGTTTTGCAACTGCTCTTTCCAGTAATAAAATAGTTATCTTTTGTGCACTAATTTATTGAGTTGATGGATTTCCCACCACTGGCTATGGGAATTCTAATTCTTTTTTTTTTTTTTTTTAAAGATTTTATTTATTTATTTGAGACAGAGAGAATGAGAGACAGAGAGCATGAGAGGGAGGAGGGTCAGAGGGAGAAGCAGACTCCCTGCCGAGCAGGGAGCCCAATGCGGGACTCGATCCCGGGACTCCAGGATCATGACCTGAGCCGAAGGCAGTCGCTTAACCAACTGAGCCACCCAGGCGCCCTCTAATTCTTTGAATTGGAATTTTATTGTGTTAAAGTTCACTTCAGGCTTGGGGACATTTATGGCATTGTCTGTAATGTGACGTAGGTATGTTTCTGTTTCATTCTAGTGTTCTTGGGTGTGACCAATCTTCAAGCAGACCAGATTCAAATGACCAGCTTGTGTGCTCGGTGGCAGGTGCATCGTCATGCTACTGCCTATAGGGTGGTTATAGAATCGCTCCAGGGTAAGTGCAAGCCTGATTTTGTCAGGCACTCATGTACTTGGTTCTGTGTAAACCTCTGTGGACAACATGTACGTAACATTAGACCAGAGCCCTCTTCTTGAGGAGGCGACGTTATATTATGGATCCTGCAGGATATGGAGTCAAAATGGCTAGGTAAGCCAATTCTTTAACCTCTCCAAATGATCATTTTCTCATCTGTTTAATGGGTATGACCATGCCGGTCTTGTGGCATCCTGTGAGGTTTAAACTGAGATAAACCCACGTGAGACATTTACAACAGTGCTTTGCACACAGGAAGCTCCAGAGAAATGTTAGCTGCTACTGGTAATAGGAGACAAACAGCCAGGACTAACACCCAGTAAAATTATATGGTGCTATTATTTTGGCATTTACTCCATGGGGATCTCAGTTTGCCTTTAATGTTTTTTCTTACTCTTTTTATTTTGGGGGATAGTTGGTGAACGACAAATTCGTTCAGGAGATGGTTTAATATATCTCTGCCATCAGAGGCAGGTTTTTCAGTTATTACCATTCTCAGGTGCATCTACAGTTTGGGACTTAGTTTCAAAGTTGAAACACTAAAAATGTATGTTTATTTCAAGTAAAAGTTTCAAGAATAACAACAAAAGGCTGATTCCCAAAAAGTGAGTTTCTAGGGACTGTGAATCCTGTTTTCACATTATCAGCTTGGATAATATTCAGAAGATGAGATCAAATAATGAAAAATACTTTGATCTGATTTGTATTTTTTTTTAAGATTTTATTTATTTATCTGACAGAAAAAGACACAGCGAGAGAGGGAACACAAGCAGGGGGAGTGAGAGAGGGAGAAGCAGGCTTCCCGCTGAGCAAGGAGTCCAATGTGAGGCTCGATCCCTGGACCCTGGGATCATGACCTGAGCCGAAGGCAGACGCTTAACGACTGAGCCACCCAGGCGCCCGATCTGATTTATATTATCAGTAGAAAAGATATGTCTTGTTATTTGGGGGAGACTCTAGGAGACACTGGAGAATCCCAAGTGATTCTTCTAATCTTTCAAATTCGGTAATAAAATTGGTAAAAAAAAAAATTTTTCTTTCTGGACAAATGATCATGGTTTTCTCATTTTAAAAAGCAGGAGCTAATTTTGGGGGTCTGAATGGGACTGAGTTTAGTAGCCCATATCTTGGGTATAACTACATCCAAAGTGCAGAAATTTCACTTTTGGTCTAATCCAGAGAGTGGAAAGCACAGATTAGTAGAGCGGTGAGGGCATTTGGAAATACGGGGAGAATGTGAGAATAGAACATAAGCAACACGAGAAGAGACTCCTGCCAACCCCAGCCAAGACAGTGTCTCAACAGACATGCTAAGCCACTAATTCCTTGATCCCCTGTGTGTAATCCTATAAGGATCCCTTTAGCCTGGCATGACTAAACATATGGGAGTGGCTTTATTCTGGAATAAACAGTGAGTAAGGAAAAGTCAGGACAAGTCATAAGGATTTCATGGTTGTATTTAATATGATTTATGGGATGTTTAAGCAAAAGCACATGAAAGCCATGCAATTGTTTGAGAAACGAGTATAAAATCTTGAGGAGTTATGTTTCATATATCTTTATAAAATGAGTTAAGTCACATTTTCATATAGAAAGGTTGACATTTAGTGGTATTTGTTAGGCTTTTAAAAAAATACTGAGGATAAAAATCACACTCCCAAACTATCCCACAATTTTTTTTAACCTTTTATATCATTTAAGAAGTTGAGATGAAGGGACATAGGCTCCTATGGATATTCATTGTCTTTCATAAAAATTATATAGACTGACAAAAAGATATATCAAAACTGGCTTTATTAATGGAATTAGTGAGCTCCATAGTCTTTTTTAAATTAAATATCTTTAGCATATTTGCCAACTAGCACTGGGATTTTTATCAGAAAATAGGGGATGGATGTGTCTGATAACATTGACCTGGTAGTCTAAAACCTCAAAAAGCTCTTTCTGAAGCCAAGACCTTTGTTAGCAAAAAAAAAATATGAGTCTACATTTCCTTCTTATCTTCAAGAGAAGTTAACTTGTACTCCCTCAGTATTGTTTCCAGGATTCCAAATACCTCTTCAACTGAGCCTTGATAGCCTCAATTAAACAAGAATGAACAAAGTGTTGCTCAGTTGATTTTTCATCAACATTTATAGCTGGGAGATTTATGAGCCCAATTAGCTTACATCTCATTCATCCAGTTGTTTAACTGAATAATATTAATTAACAGACAGCAACAGTTTCTAATTCACAGCCTCAAAGAGGAGTGTTGGGGTGGGGAGGGAGCATGAGGATAGCAGTAGGGAGTATGTTTATTTTAATATATAGTTTAGATCAAGTCATAGTTTTCCTACTCTATAGAGTAGGGAAGAATTAGGTTGCGCTTCTTTTCTTTTTTTAGCACTTTGACCTCCTTCACTGATTTCTCCTACACACCCCCCACCCTAACTCCTGCCCCTGGCAACCAGGAATCTGTTCTCTGTATCTATGAGCTTGATTTCAGGTTGAGTTCCTTTATTTTACAAAGAAATGCAACCGTTACCCTGATTGGTGCCTTTGAAGGACTCTGGTCAGATGCAGATTCTTCCATAGGCAGATGGTTTCAAAGCCCCCTTTGTTTTAACTTTGGAATATCTCCCATTGGCTACATATGCTGCCTGTGTAGAAATTTTAGTCCTTCCACCCAAGAGGCGATACTAGAGAGAAGTGGGATCTAATTCCTCCATGTGATAGAGAAAAGCTTTGTCCCAGAGTGACCTATTTTTTAATGCTTCTGACCAATTCCTACTGTTTGACAAGTAATTTTTTCAGTTGTTTTTCTCTTTTTTTTTAAATTTTATTTTATTATGTTATGCTAATCACCATACATTACATCATTAGTTTTTGATGTAGTATAGTCCCCATGGTCTGGTCGTGTGCATTTGTATTCTGAGATGAAGTCAGTGGAGAGGCCTCTGTTTTAACCATAATTGCTAGTCAACTTCTCTGGGCTTCAGTTTCTCTAAAATTACTTTTTTTTTTGAGGCTTTTATCTGAGGTTATACCTACAAATTTCCAGGGTTTTTGTGAATAAAGTAGTCAGGCTGTATCATTCAGGTTTGTTTGTAAATGCTAGAAATGCAGATAAAAGGAACTTAAGCAAAGGATCAATTAATTGACTAATATACTGGGAAGTTTGGAAGTGTCTAGCACCAGGCACATCTGGATCTAAGTGTTCAAACAATGCCATCAAGACCAAGTCTTGCTCTCTTCTGCTCTGTGCTTATGCTCAGCCAGATTCTCTGAGTTGGCCCCAGTCAGATCCAGAATGACATCCTCCCAGCTAAGAGCTTAACCAGTCTGAGTGAAAAGAGAGCTTCTCTTTCTCAATAATTCCAACAAAAGTCCAGGAACTGAGTCATATTGGCTTGGCTTGGGTCACATGCCCCTAAATCTGTCATTGAGTTCAAGGGCATGAAATAAACTGGTCAAACTTGGTTGCCTCCCATCTCTGTATCTGGAGGAGAGGAGGGTTGTTATTCAGTTCTTCCCAAATCATAAAGACCAAGAGTAGGGAAGAACAGATTCAAAGAAAGAGGGAATAGATGCAAACCAGGCAAAAACAACAGATGTCCTCTACTCATATAAATATTATGACTTTTTTTATAGCCAAGAAGAAAAAAAAAAAAAGAAAGAAAGATTACCAGAAGGATGAGGTCCTCTCAGGAGAGACTGAAATAAATCTGTGTTTGAGTCACTCATCCCCTTGCCAAATTAAAATTGTAGGCTTTTGGTTAATGGTAGGACAGACCAAAGTCAGGGACTTTTGGTTGGTCTTGGGTGGCTCAGAACCCCATGAGAGCCTCCATTAGTTCTGTAGATGCTCTGGGATTCTATCTCTCTCTCCAGCTATTTTTGAGTTGACTTGGCACCTAACGTTGGGTATAGCATTTCCCTTTAGGTTCACGTATTTAGATTCTACATGGTCCCAAATACTTTATTCCCTTCCTAATCTCCATAACTTGGTGAATTTCTTTCTAGACTGCTTAAGGAAGGTTTCAAAGGACGTTCAACTTGTCTTCTGTCTTTTGGTGTTGAAATGCCAGTTTTGCGGTATCATTGACAAACAGAATGGGCAGCATAGTGGAGAGCCTACCTTACCAGACACCAGATCCAAAGCAAAAGATCATATGAAACAAAACATATTTTCAAGATTAAACTTTTTGAAGCAGTGACATTATGATTGCTGGTCAGGGTATTTGAGAGACCTGGGGATTGGAAGCATTGATATCATAAAATGCCAGCAGAGTATTCTGGATCCTGGATATTCTTTGCTTGTGGATCTCAGTAAGTACTCATAGGACATTTTGGTGAGTCAAGCTGATGGCATCGTTATCAGCAGAATAATAACCCAGACGATATATTCAGCCTTGCTTCATGAGAATGAAGGCACAAAGACAGAATTTCTTCCCCTTTTCCAAAAAAATAAATTAACTCCCTGCTTTTGGCACAAGGGGTTGAGGAAATTAGTCATCATTTGATCAGTTTGAATGTTTTCCTTTAAGGCAAAGCCAGTAGACCTAAATCACACATGCCAAAAGCAACATGGATACATCCCCATTCATGTAACCCCTCTTTGCTATTATTGGGAATTAAAGCAATACTGTTTCTCAATAATTTTACAGTGCTTGTTCCAGTTTTCCAATGTTTTGAGATTTTTTTGTTGTTGTTTTAGCAGTAAAATCCATTTATATTCTATTGTCGAGGGTCTATAAAGTGTATGAGTATCCACGAGAAATAGAGATGACAGAAAAACACTTTCTAGAATTGATTCCTGGAGAGTTCCTGGAAGCTTTTATGGAGATGGATTAATATCCATGCCATAGGATATTTGTTTTACAGATGACTCACAAAAGCTTGCAAGAGGATCCAAAGTTGTGGGTAAAGGTTAGAAAGAAGCAGTTTGTGTGGGGTCTTGAGCCTGGGAACCACAGACTGACCTTGGACGTGAGCAAAGCAGAGTGCAGAGTTTATAAACATTTTCTTACTATCAAATTCCTGTCATAGCGAGATACAATTTCACAAACACCTGAACAACTCTTTTTTTATTTCATCATTTGATAATATATATGATAAGAAAATTTTTGAAGTAGACCTTAATTCATTCTGAACAAATATATTACTAAAGATTATATAAATTTCACTTTTGAAACTCCTTTATATTTTCAATCATAAAAATCAAAAAATAAATTTCAAATTCCATTTAACAAGTAGCTTTAATTTATTTATATTTTTAAAAACCTTATTTATATTTTTTAAAAAAGGATTTTGTCCAGACAAATTTTAAATGACATATGTCATGTTTGTTCTGATATATGTGTGTTGTAATAGATGTATGTTTTGTTCCAAAATATATTAAAATATAGATTGAAATTTACTAGGTATTTTATATTCAAAATAGAAAAATTACTATTTGACATTTTTTATATTTTGTACTGTTCTGTTTTTAAGTTTTCTATATTTTGTTTATATTTAATAATCTGCAACTAACACTTTGAAGGAGTTCTTTTGAACCACTAAATAATATATGTAATGTATTCAATCAATGTAGTTTTTAACACAGGTTTTTAAATTCCTAGAAATAAAGCTAGATAAGGCATTAAGTAGACTGATACAGCTTATGGGTGAAATAAAGCTCAATCTAGAGCTTTTTAAATAATTGTTCTTTTCACAGTAGCAGTGATTTTTTCCTTTTAACCAATTATCCACACGGTAAAAAAAAAAAAAAAAAAAAAAAAGAAACACTCTATGCCAATGAAGAAATCAATTTGAAACCCTTCAGTAATTAAAGCTGCCAAAGGAGGGCGCCTGGGTGGCTCAGTTGGTTAGGCGACTGCCTTCGGCTCAGGTCATGATCCTGGAGTCCCGGGATCGGGTCCCGCATCGGGCTCCCTGCTCAGCAGGGAGTCTGCTTCTCCCTCTGACCCTCCTCCCTCTCATGCTCTCTGTATCTCATTCTCTCTGTCTCAAATAAATAAATAAAAAATCTTAAAAAAAAAAGCTGCCAAAGGAGGCAGCTTTATCCAGTGGAGAAATAAAGCACTGAATCATAAGGGATCCTTTTCCGATCTCTGCCAGATATCACATTTGCTTAATTTCATATGCACTCCGCAGATCTCAAACTGCTTTATTTAGAAAAACTACACATGTAACTTCCACTGTTTTATGATGTATTAGTGGAAATTAAAGCAGCATCCTCTGAAACTGTGATTTAGAGTTCTGAATTTAATTTCAGTTCTGCTACTTAGCATATGGACTTGATTAGGAGACTAACTTTTTTGGCCTTCAGTTTCTTATCTTTAGATTGGGGATAATTATACATATTATAAGGATCAAATGAGTCGATTCACATAAAATCTTTAGAATAGTGCCTGGCACATGACAAAAGCTCATTAAATATTGGTTATTATCATTCTTGTTGTTGTTTTATGAAATACAAAGCACAGAACCTGGCACACAGTAAGCCCTCAGAAAATGATGAATATCATTAATCCAAGTACCCTAGACTCCAGACCCAAGAGCCAGCACTAACTTCTCCAGGAGGGCAAAGCCATCTTGCTCTGAATATGGGAATGAAGAAAGTAGCCAACAGTTAAACTGGGTCTACTAGGTTCTTTGTGCTTCTGCCATGGTGGAGACAAGAAAGAGAAGGTCCTTTGTGGAGATGGCTGTATATGGCTGTCTTTTTGGTAGAACCAAAAGAACTTTGGAACCAGGAGTTGGAAAACAGTTCTACAGAATGTAGAGCCCTAAACCACAGAAGCACCATGTTTTACTTACTCAGTTATGATTTTGAAAGAAGGGAAAGTGATTTTCAGAGTGGATCCAGCCTCCTCTGAACTTCCTAGGAGTCTTCATTGCCATTAAAAGAAATCATGAGTATCAGTTACAAATGAATGCTGAGAGGTAGGAAATTGGGCATTATGGGGACTTCCTGACTGTCTCAGCGCCACTCCAAACTCTTTTTTTTTTTTAATTTATCCATTTGAGAGAGAGAGAATGAGAGAGAGAGCACGAGAGGGGGAAGATCAGAGGGAGAAGCAGACTCCCCACTGAGCAGGGAGCCCAGTGCGGGACTCGATCCCTGGACTCCAGGATCATGACCTGAGCCGAAGGCAGTTGCTTAGCCAACTGAGCCACCCAGGTGCCCCGCCACTCCAAACCCTTGCTTGCATTTGTGACTGTTCTGAAAATAACCTGGACCTGTGGATGAAGCTTCTGAGACCCTGGAAGCACACCTCTTCATCCACAGGCATAAGGACTGCCTAGAGTTCTATAATCCTAACTCAATACCTATATTTTTATTTTTATTTTTTTAAGTAAGCTCCACACCCAGTGTGGGGCTTGAACTCACCACCCTAGGAGTAAGAGTTGCATGTTCTTCTGACTGAGCCAACCAGGCACCCCAGCATATCTATATTTTTAGGCCACTGGCAGGAAGGGCATCTTGTTGCATGGTAGAAAGTTGTATGGGGCCAAAAGGATGTGTCTTTTTGTCAATTTGTAATTGGTTGGCTGTGTTCTGGAGATTCATGTTGATAAAAGAATATTCTAATTTTTAAAAAGTAAATATGCTCACCTCCCCACCTGTCCAAAAGATCAATTATGACATGTACACACAATTATATATGCTAATAATTTTCCATTAAAGCATTGATCTCAGGAGTCTTTTATTCTCATTTTTGAACATAATGAAAATGTGATTTTCAATTATAAAAAAAAATCAGTGAATGTATTAACTCTTTAGAAAAAGGTACAGAACCTAAACAAGTATATTCAATCTGAAGTTATCTGATTAGGCCATGCATATTAAGCATTTTAGAAGCAAATCATCTACTGATAACTGTTTTTAAAAATTTCATGCATGTATGTTTTGTTTTATTATAGACACAAAAAAGCAAGAATCCACTGTGGGTGGAGGGACAACCAGGCATTGCTTCTATGGACTTCAGCCTGATTCAGAATATAAAATCAGTGTTTACACAAAGCTTCAGGAGATCGAGGGACCCAGTGTGAGCATAATGGAAAAAACACGTAAGTCAAGTGTGTCCTCTCCGATCCCTGTCTCCATGGACAAATAGTATTTTACGCATCCTGTTTTGGTTCAAAAACTTTATTCCATTTAGAGAAATGTTAGCTATTGCTGCCCAGGAATACCTGTAATACAAGTTTTCTTCCTCTTCTCCAGTCCCATAATTCACTGCATGTGGCCCACTGATGTCATCTGTATGGGGTTTTTTCCATCCTCCATATGTTTCACAAAGGACTGTAAGGCCATATGATAGCAAAGTGCTTGAAACAATGACCTTTTTTTGTGATCTATATCCATAAGGAACGTTTGTGGTATGCAGAGTGTGAAATGAAGTTTAAGGCCCGGGTCCTGACATTCAAACAATGGCATGTTACCACAGCTATGAGGTGGGAATGGAGCCAAGATGTTCCAAATGGCTGACCCTCAAGTTATTGCCTACTTAAGAGGCTCTTGCACTTTTTCCAAGTTGGCTGCAGATCTGATGTGCTGAAGGGAAACGGAAAGTATAAAATTAAAACAAAACACTTTTTACATGTTCTAAAGACCAAGGAGAGTGTCAACTTCTTGGAATGGCTTTTAATCAAGGATTTCTGATGTAAAGGCACAAACATGAAAATTGTAGCGAATTCTGGGGAAATTTGTGTACTTAACTCAGTATCTTGAACTTAGACTCAAAGTCCCTGAGGATTTTGTATCTGAATAGGTGGTGGGCGATGGGTTTTCTTGGTAGTCCCTCTATCTTATATCTGACATTTGGAAAGTTCTGTCTATGTATAGGTCTTCCAGTTCATCTGGCACAGGCAGGAAGAAATCATCAGCAATGTGTGACCTTCAGAAACAGACAGTGAAAGTATAATAAATGGCATCATCCAATTTTTTTCTAATATGAAAATTTTATTTCTTAACACTAAAATATTCCACATTTTATATTGCATTATAGTTTTAAGGTATAGTCTATATATCGTAAAATTCACCTATTTTAAATGTACAATTCAATGATTTAAAGAGTTGTATAGTCATTACCACAATCCAATTTTAGAACATTTCCATCAACCCAAAGAGTTCTTTCATACTCATTCACACTCCTCTGTCCCATCTTCAGTCCCAGGCTATTTGCTTTCTTTTCTTTCCTTTTCTTTTTTTTTAAGATTTTATTTATTTATTTGAAAGAGAGAGAGTGATTTTTTTTTAAGATTTTATTTACTTATTTTACAGAGAGAGACACAGTGAGAGAGGGAACACAAGCTGGGGAGTGGGAGAGGGAGAAGCAGGCTTCCCATGGAGCAGGGAGCCCGATGCGGGGCTTGATCCAAGGACCCTGGGGTCATGACCTGAGCCGAAGGCAGACGCTTAACAACTGAGCCACCCAGGCACCCCTGCTTTCTTTTCTTATACATTTACCTTTTCTGGACATTTCAAAGGTGCATCTGGCATCTTTCACTTACCGTATGTTTTTGAGCTTATTCATGTTGTAGGATGTATCAATAGTATGTTTCTTTTTATGGCTGATTAGAATTCTATTTTATAGTTAGAGGATCATGTAATTTTGAAGTTACTAGGGACCTGGTGGTGCACAAGATTTTGAGTCAAACAGCCTTCTTTGGGACCCTTTCTAACATGGTGGCCTTGGGCAGTTCCACATCTCTGAGCTTCTTTTTGCTCAGCAGTAAAAATTAAACACTTGTTCTCTTAACCCCATGTGGTGGTGGTAAAGATCCAAGAGAACCTGTTGAGGAACTTTTCTACCCATATCTTACTGAACAGGTATTCTATATCACCATGGCTGTCTTCTTAGAAGTCACAAACTGATGGCCACGGGGTAGATATCACTGTGAAATAGGTTTTCTCTGAGCCATACATTTTTTTCCCAGGCTTTAAAGAATCTGTTGAAAGTTCAAAAGATTTGACAACCCAGGACACACATATCATGGTGCCAATCTGCGGAGACCAACTGCTATCTCTTTTATACAGTATATGTGCTCTCAAGTTTGTTCCTTGTTAATGTGTAGGCTAGTTCTTTGCTCATTTTCATTACTTGCTGACCTTTAAAAATATTTTGGGTTTGTGATCCCTGGTCTACTTCAGCGTCCCCTAACCTTAACTCCACAAGTGTTAACTACCAACCCAGGGTTAATTGGGATAGCTCTGTTTGATGTGCTTCCCTTATGTTGGGGATATCTGTATTCTTGTAGCTTCTACCCACTGGCTCTAGTTCACCTTTCTGAATCAATGCAGATCAAGATTGCTCCCTCTTCTATGGGACAGCCCCTCACATATTGAAGACAGGGACCATCTGTATGCCACATAGAGTATATAAACCTATATCACCAGTTCACTGTGGTTCTTCCTACCCAAAAGAGTCTTTGGCCAGATGTTCTACCCAAACATATTGATCTGTCTGCCATTGCTTCTCATTGATTTGGTTCTTAGGACTTAGAACTTAGGATATGCCTCAATTTCCTACAATAAAGAAGATGGACAATTATAAAGATGACCCACTACTTCCACAGATATTAAGATAAATACATCTGGCTTTAGAAGCATTTTATGGTGCTTTCAAGAAAGTTTTACAGTCCTAGTTTTGGTATTAAGATTTCTCACTTTTTATTTTACATTTGACACTTTTTAGCTTCAAAAATTGCCTTTAAAAGATTAAAGTGATATATATTCACAATAATGGAACAGAAGGTAAAAAGTACTTTGTTGACTTCCCTCTTTCCCCATTCTTCCTTCCCACAAGTGCCCATTTGTACCAGCTTGTTCTCCTTCAAGAAATTCTCCATAATCTATCTATCTATCTATCTATCTATCTATCTATCTATCCAATCTATATCTATATAGAGATATAGAGATATATTGATATTCATCAGATACATATGTATCTGATAGGTTTTTTTATGTTTCACAAATAGGATCATAGCTTGGTATTCTGTGACTTGCTTCATTTCACATACTAATTAATCTCAAACATTTTTCTATATTGGTAATATACAGTTACTTTGTTTTTTTAAAATGTTGAATTATTTTATTCAAATAATTGTATTTTATTGCCTGTTAGGGGCGCCTGGGTGGCTCAGTCATTAAGCGTCTGCCTTCGGCTCAGGTCATGGTCCCAGGGTCCTGGGATCGAGCCCCACATCAGGCTCCCTGCTCCACGGGAAGCCTGCTTCTCTCTCTCCCACTCCCCTTGCTTGCGTTCCCTCTCTTGCTGTGTCTCTCTCTGTCAAATAAATAAATTAAATTAAATTAAATGAATAAATAAATATTGCCTCTTAAAATTGAAAGAGACCTTAAAATTAAAATTCATCTCTCCGGGGCACCTGGGTGGCTCAGTTGGTTAAGCGACTGCCTTCGGCTCAGGTCATGATCCTGGAGTCCCAGGATTGAGTCCCGCATCGGGCTCCCTGCTCGGCAGGGAGTCTGCTTCTCCCTCTGACCCTCCCCCCTCTCATGTGCTCTCTCTCTCTCTCTCATTCTCTCTCTCAAATAAAATAAAAAATCTTTAAAAAAAATAAAATAAAATAAAATAAAATTCATCTCTCCAACCTTCCTGCCAGTGAAGGAATTCCCTTTATAACATTCCTGACCAAGTAATCAGTCTGCCTGAACTCAGATCTTTCTGGCTATTTGGTGCTCACCTGTTTCAGAGGGAATGGCTATAATTATTCAAGAGTTTTCCCTCATATTAATCTGAGATGATAAAAGAATTTTCTCAGTTTTTCTTAAATTTTTAGTGCCAAATAAGAACAAGAAAAGAATATAGTAACATGTAGGATGTTTACCTAATGATTCCATGATTTCCTTGCTCTTTACCACATGAACTGTTGTGAAAGTCACCACTCTCATGTAACTATCCCCCGTTCCTTTAGCCAATCACACTTTGCATATTACATGAACGTCTCATCCCTCATCATCCAGGTTGAACTGATCTGGACACACGGTGGCCTCCCAGTGTCTTGCCATTTGGTCCTCAGAACTGAAAGTTTTCCAGATAGAGTCTGAGCAGAAAAGAGAGCAAATTAGATTCCACTGGGGACCACATCCTGGGGATGCAGAGTGAGAAGGGGGGGAAAGTGCTATTGAACAAGAATTGATGGTCAGTCCTTAGTTAGGCAGAATAGAAACGAAGTTTATTATATGTGTGAAAGAAGCCAGAGACTAATCCGAAATGGGTTGGCAAGAGTCTTGCCTTAAATCAGCATTAGAACCACTTTGTAGTTGACAGTTTGATTGCATTGACTCCTGCTGGGTAAACTGAATTGTGGCAAAATGGCATTTCAAGCTTTCAGTCTGAATTTAGGGGTTGGATGGAGGCAGTTTTCACAGGCTGTGGCTGATTTATAGTAGTCACTAACTTCACTATATTCTCCAAGAAGACAATGGCCAAAATCATTGACTTTACTGAAGAATTATTACTCCATGACCTCCCTCTCTTCACCACAGATGTGATGGCTAATCCATGTTCCTTTTCTCTCTACAGAGTCACCTCCTACTCAACCACCTACTTTTCCTCCGACCATTCCACCAGCAAAAGAAGGTAAAAGAATAATATGATAATGCTGTGATTTTAGGTTCAGGTTTTCTCTTGGTTTTGTTTATTAAACAAACATTAAAAAGAAGAAAAGGGTACAAGGAAGAAATTTAAGAACACAATTTCATATCCCAGAGGTAATTCCTTCATGCATTTTGATGTATTTTTTCTCTGATTTATTACAGAAATTTTCATTTTGAGTATATATTCACATAGATTTTGCTCTCATTTCAAAGTTGAAATCTCATCTTGATTTCATTTTTCTTTGGTAACAGAGGACCAGATTTTCTTTAATAAGCTTATAATTAGCAGATCTTGTGATCCCTTTCGCTCTAAATTCAAACCAGAAATTTGTAAAATTTTATAAATCTCAGAACTTAGAAGAACAACCTTACCAGATCCTTATTGTCCCTGGATTATTACCTCGCCTGGAGATAGTTTATTCTATATTATAAATAGCTTTAAGGGAATAGCTTTAAGTACAACTTAATAAAATAAAAACCAAGTGCTTTTTTTTCCTAAAGAAAGGAGAAAGGCACACTATCTCATAGAATATTTGTGTGCAACTGGCCTAAGATTAAAAGATTCAGATTATTGAAGAGTAAATTATTTGTTTCATCATAAAACAGAGTCAACCACAATGATCCACACTAATAAGGGGAAGACAGGCATAGATAATCTGAAACAGCACAGGACACCAATGAAGGACTACTGAAAAATGCTTTAGGTGGAGTGGGTTTTTGTTGGTGTGTTTCTTGCTTGTTATGTTGATATCAGTAATAACTACTGATAATAGTCTCCCTGGGCTAGCATTAATGTACATTTCTTGACAAGTACCAATAGGTGGCAAAAAGGCATAGACAGAATTTTAGAGCAAGGCTGGAAGTTTGCTTACAGCCTTAGCCCAAATGCATATCAAATTGTAGATTAATCTGCTTCCATTATGTCCTGTGCCTTCCTTCTGAATTTGAATCTCTCTGAAGTTACTGACTCAATAAGCAGAGAATAGGGTGCTTAGAGTAATAGCTTGGACTTTCTTCTAATAAGTGAGTACTTGAGAGTATTTGTTGCTATATCTGTCTCTAAATCACTTTAGTTCTTCATTTTTCTGTTCTTTAATTTTCTATTTTAGAGGGCTGAGATTGATTTTTTTCATAATTCTACATGTTTGATAAAACTTCTCAGTCATGAAGTCAAGCTTCTCCTTGACTACAGGAAAGAAATGATTATCAGGAAGTATAATGAGCAAGAGCTTGGAATGTGATTTATACCTTTCCTTTGGGAAAGAGCTGTAGTTACCAGAAGCAAACCATCATCTGCTTTGTTGGTTGTAATAACTACTGTTTTCCCCTTATCTCGAATTCAAAATTCATTCCTGGTCTTCAGTATGCAGAGCTGCCAAGGCAGACCTGGTATTTATGGTGGATGGATCCTGGAGTATTGGAGATGAAAATTTCAATAAGATCATTAACTTTCTGTATAGCACTGTTGGAGCCCTGAACAAGATCGGTGCTGATGGAACTCAAGTAAGGCTAACTGAACAATCTTTAATTCATTCTATGCATTAAAAAATTATCCCACGCTATTGTTATGGCTACTTGTCAGTTGATATGGATAATATAGCGATCAGATCTGACCCTAAATGAGAGGATAGACAAGTCTGGGTTTGGAAGCAGCTTACTGATGCCAAGAGTCGGACGCTCAACCGACTGAGCCACCCAGGTACCCCTGCCACTGGAAAGTTTTAAGGAGAGAATAAAAGTCATTCTGACTGTTTTATGGACTGTGAATAGTAACACGGGTAAGAGTGGATGCAGAGAGACCATAGTCCAACACAGAGATGAGTTGGAGGCCTGGGCATGGGTGGTAACAAGGAGATGCACGGGTAGGAACAGATTCAGAATGTATCATGGAGGAATGGCTGAGAAAATTTGGATGTAAGGGGAACCATAAGAGAAAAATAGATAAAGTGCTAAGGCATTTCAGGGAGCAAGGAATTTATTTTGGATAGAAGGGTCAGATGTGGTTCCCTGGAGATGATAACATCTGCAGCAGTGGCCCTTGAAGGCTGGTAGCAGCTGAAGGCTCACACAATCAAAGAAAGCACTTTGAAGATGCTGTATTTATTCCCTCCCATGATCATTCTGAAAAGCAAACAAAAAAAATCCCAGTAAATTAAAGATAACCCCCAAATTCCACTGTTAGAAAAGCAAACTATAGGAAATGAAGCCAGGAAGGCTTTTATTGTAGTGGTTAAAAACATAGAGTTTGGGGGCGCCTGGGTGGTTCAGTCAGTTGAGTGTCCAACTCTTGATTTCAGCTCAGGTCGTGATCTCAGCGTCTTGAGATGGAGCCCTGCATGGGCTCTGCACTCAGCAAGGAGTCTGCTTGAGAGTCTCTCCCTCTCTCTGCTCCTCCCCTCGCTCACTTTCTAAATAAATAAATAAAAATCTTTAAAGAAAAAGAACATGGATTTTGAGGTGGGATTTACTTGGCTTCAACTGTGGGTTCTGCAGTGGCCACCCTTGGGATTTTGTGCAAGGCACGTGACTTTGAGTGCCTTTGTCTTCTCGTGTGTAAAACGGTGGAACAGTCGTAATTACTTCACAGGTTTGTTTCATGAAGCCGTCCTTGTAAAGAATCCACCTCGGATTCTCTGACCTTTGTCAAATTACAAGGCTGCTTTTTTTTCCATCTGTCAAACAAGAAAGCAAAAGGTCTACATACTTTCAAAGGAGATTGTTAGGAGACTGAGAGAAATTTTTAAAAATAAACTGTTTCCTGAAAAATACTTAGAGAACAAAAAATACTCCTTAATGTGTTGTCAGATTTGCTATGTAACCTGTGTGAAATTTTAAGCCAAGGAAATTGTGGTTTGGGTTAAAAAAGAAATTAAAATCATAGGTGTAATCATGCCATTGTGTGTGCTCTCTGGAGGAAGTCTTTATATATGTGAAAACAAATACCTTGTCTCTCTCCAGGTTGCAATGGTTCAGTTCACTGATGACCCCAGAACAGAATTTAAACTAAATGCCTACAACACCAAAGAGACCCTTCTTGATGCAATTAAACGTATTTCATACAAAGGAGGAAATACAAAAACAGGTAAGAATAACAGCAACAGCAAAACTCAGCAAAGACCCAGAGTAATTCATCATTAATAATTACTGAAATGACTTTTTGGAGGCATAAGAATATAGATTTTTTTGAAAAGATTTTTTTACTGATCTAAGAACTTCCACCCTTCCCTCCCCAGCGAAACAAACAAGGGGAGGAATGAAATTGAACAGTTGCCTTCCTCTGTTTCAGGAAAAGCAATCAAGCATGTCCGAGATAGTTTGTTCACTGCAGAGTCAGGGACCAGAAGAGGTATCCCAAAGGTCATCGTGGTTATAACTGATGGCAGGTCACAAGATGATGTGAACAAAATCTCCGGGGAGATGCAATCAAATGGTAAGCCACGGATAGTAATGTTGCCATTGTTTTCTGAATACAAATTTATAGGCCCATCAGAATGATTTAAGTGTTTCTAAATCTTTCTGAATATTTAATGTAAATCTTTTTTAATATTAACTAGACAATGTGATTTTTATTTTTTTATTTTTTATTATGTTCAGTTAGCCAACATATAGTACATCATTAGTTTTTGATGTAGTATTCAGTGATTCGTTAGTTGCCTATAACACCCAGTGCTCATTACCACACATGCCCTCCTTAATACCCATCACCTGGTTACCCCATCCCCCCACACCCCTCCCTTCTGTAACCCTCAGTTTGTTTCCCAGAGTCCAGAGTCTCTCATAGACAATGTGATTTTTAAAAAACGTTCCAAGTTACAAATCTAATATTTTGCTGTATTTTCTCTAATACTTTTGTTACACACAGGACGCCCTGTATAAGAAATTGTAGCAATTAAGTGCAATACTGTGAAAAGGACCGTTATGGAGGGCCAGGGAGGGAACCTGATCACAGAAGCTCCTCAGCCTCCTCATCTGTAAAATGGAGATTCTCATTGGATTATCATGAAGATTACATTTTTTAAGACATGCCTGGCAAACAGTAGTTTAATATTTATTTGCCAAGCATGGAACCATGACCCACCTCAGGCTGCTAGCCTATTAATACCTCAGGTTTTACATGTTAAGAATAAACTGAGATAAAGTTTCTCTGTCTCAACTACATTTCATCCCATAAACCTTAAAATAATTATTAGAAGTATATAGCATAAAGATGTTCCTCCAATGGCAACTATTTTGTCTCAAGCACTGACTGGGGCATTGCCTGTCTTGAGTTTTCTTTAAAATGGAGAAATGCTTAGCAGGTGATGAAATAATTATCATTTGGTGGCATGTGCCCATGCAGAATTCTGATAGACAATAAAAAATGAATTATCCACCCCCACCAGGCCTCCTTCATCAATATTTTAAACACAGGGACGTGTCTTACATTGCATTATTTGTATTTTGTGCAGTTTAAAATAATCAGAACTCTCTTCCCCTCCTGCCACAGGTTACAGCGTCTTTGCAGTTGGTGTGGCTGATGCAGATTACTCAGAGTTGGTTAGCATTGGCAGCAAGCCCAGTTCACGGCATGTCTTCTTTGTGGATGACTTTGACGCCTTTAAGAAAATTGAAGATGAGTTGATTACTTTTGTCTGCGAAACCGCTTCAGCAAGTTAGTTCTTTGGAATTTGTACTTAACTCATGTTGCTTAATGGCTGAAATATTTCATACCAGTTAAATAATGAGTCCCATCTTGATCTGAGAAAAGAATATGTATTTGCAGAGCTGTTTAGTATGCAGACATTAAGTTTTGTGGTTTTGAGCATTTGGAAATAAACCTCCGCTCTCCCCCGTTTAGGGTTTTAGGTGGATAAAAACTTTCCCTAATGAGATGAGAGTCTATGTCTAAAAGCAACTCTGCCTAAACAGCTGTAGTAAATGGTTTTCAAAATGTAGTAAGACTGCTCATCAGGGTGACACACTGTAAGTGAGACTACTCCCAACACATGCTCTCAAGAGACCACCATAGATTTTAATAGATCCATGAGAGGAGAAGGAAGCCGTGTCCTTTTGGTTGTAGTAGGCCAAGGGAGAGCATTTCAATCTTTAGGAATCTACAGAAAACCGTAGCCACATGTGGTTTGGATACCCTTCACAATTGACTTCCGCAAAGATTATGTTAGTTTCCTGTTCTCAGGACAGGGAAAGAGTATGTTTGGAAAATATCTAAATCGGGGTTTTATATTGTTTGTTTTGCTTCCCAGCCTGCCCGCTGGTGTACAAGGATGGCGTAGATCTTGCAGGTATGCATTATCACAATCTTTCCAAATACATTTGGGAAATACAAAACAGGTCCAGATTTTTTCTATCTTTAAAAGACTAATTCTGAAATTTAAAATCCTAAAATGCCTGGTTTGTTTTTTTTTTCTTTCTTTCTCTCTCTCTCTCTCTCTAGGATTTAAGATGATGGAAATGTTTGGTTTGGTTGAGAAGGATTTTTCATCTGTGGAGGGGGTTTCCATGGAGCCTGGTACCTTCAATGTGTATCCCTGTTACCGAATTCATAAAGATGCCCTGGTTTCCCAGCCAACCAAGTATGTTTCCCTTGCAAGATATTAAAGCCAATCATTTGTTATTGTATCTCAAAGTGAAAATGATGTCAACTTGAAATATGCTGTAATAGTTCCCAGTAGGATTTTCCATGATGATAAGAACAAATGATTAGACTTCTTTGTTTAAAAACATTAGACTCACACATAATGCCAGTTGAACTTTAATAACTGTGAGTCTGAGAAAATATATGAAGATAGTTGATCTTTACCCAACGCCACCATATACCAGTCATTGTTCTACGTGTTTAAGCACCTTAACTCACTCGAAGCTCCAAACAGCTCTATGCCTTAGATTCACTTATTATCTCAGTTCTAGAAATACTGAAACTAAAGCACAAAGAAGCTAAATGACTTGAGTGAGATCACATGGTTTGTTTAGTGAAAATGCTGGGGTTTGCATCTGGCAGTCAGGCCCCAGAGCCCACACCCTGAACCATGTCATTCCAGTGCCAATAATTCAGCTCATTTTTAATTTTTGAGAAGTCACAACAGCAACCCCACGTAGTGGATGAGTAGTATTGGATGTATGTACAAACCACATTAGCTACTTGCTTTATAGTTCATAATGCGCATAGGATTCCTGGGCCTGTTTACAGCAAATTCCTGGTTCAAGGGATCATCTCTCAAGATGTTGTCTGCTATTTTACATTCCAACGTGAAACATTTTCAGTGTCCAGATGTTGATGTAGTGTGCACTTGTGCACGGACCAATGGGACAGATCGTATTAGAGTATTAAATTCATCTATCCAATGTATACACAAGTTGCTTTGCTAGCTTCTTTGAAAATATTATTTATTAAATTTTAGCCTATTACAAATACTATCCAAATTATTTTATTGTGCTTCATTTGGGAAGATATTATTTGAAATAAGTAGACCTCTCTTAATAATGCACAATATTTGCTGTTATAGCTGTAGCTTCATTTTCTAGAAAATTGTTAAAAATGCCTTTGACCTATAGAGTATATGTGCTTTTAGATAGAGCCAACATCTGGTGTTACCTTTTAGCAGGTTTTCTTTTTCCACAGTCTAGGGATGAATATTAAAATGGGTATTTGAAAAACCCTCCATGGAGTCCTAGTCCAAAATGAGAATTGCCAAAGGGAAAATCCTCTCTACCCCACTGAAATGGCTCATCCAGTGAACAGCACCGTCCACCATCAAAATCCATTCACAGGCTCCCAGCCCTTATCTTACTCCTCCTGTCACCAGCATTTGACACAGTTGCTCACTTCTTCCTCTTGGATTCCCTTTCTTCACTGGGCTTCTGGGACACACACTCTTTAGAGCTTCTGCCTACATTACCGGCTGTTCATTTTCCGTGCTGCCTCCTCTTCTCACCTCCACTTCTTCATGCTGGAGGGATTAGGTCTGGATCCTTGACGTTCTTGTTTTCCTTGTCTATACCCACTCTCTGGTGATCTTTTGAGTAGTGTTCAGCATTATCTATATGCCAACGACTCCTAAATTTGTATTTCCAGTCCCCTCCCATTTCCCCATAACTAGACTAGCATACCTAATGGCGTACTAGGCATCTTGCTTGGCTATCTAAATGGGCATTTCAAACTCTGCATGTTCAAGACCATGCTGACCTTCGTTCCAGAGCCAGCTTCACTTACAACCTTTTCCATCTTAATGACAATTACATCTAACCAGTTTCTCAGGCAAAAAAAAAATGACTTTTTCATGTCCCACATCCACTCTACAAAGGAATCCAGTTGTCTGTGCCTTCTCGCTGTCTCCACTGCCTTAACTCCATATGGGGCGCTGTCATCTCTTCCCAGGCTCATTGCAGCAGGCTTCTAATTGGTCTTCCTGCTCAGACCCTTGCCTTCCTAGAGTCTATTCTCCAAGTAGCAGTCAGAGTAATTCTTTTAAAATGTAAATCATGTCACTCCAAAATCTCCACGATTCCCCATTCCCCTTGCATTAAAAGTCAAAACTCTTGAATGGCCTATAGGGTCTACATTATCTGGGTACCTATTACCTCTTTGACTTCACCTCTTGTCTCCTTCAGTCCATTCTCCAGACATACCAGCCACACTCCACTTTGGTGTCTTTGTACTAGCTGGATGTCTTTGTCTCTTCTGAGGTTTTCTTCAAATCTAACTTTCTCAGTGAACCTGTGCTCAAATGTAACCTTCTCAAGGAGCCTTCTAAGTGAAGCCAGTGGTGATGACTTCATTTAACACTGCAAAACAATACATCCTAGCATTCCCAGTCCCCATTAAACTGCTCTATTTTTCTTGTTGTTTTTTTTTAATGGCATGTTTACCTTCTAATACACTGTATAATTCACCCTGCTAGAATTTAAGTGCTTCTACAAGGATAGGGACATTGTTGGTTTCATTCATTGATGTATCTTAAGTGCCTATTACAATGTCTGGCACATAGCAAGCACACAATAAGTATTTGTTGAATGAATGAATGAACTAACATATAAACAAAATGAATGAAATATTTTTATCTATGCAAATCAAACTTTCATTTTCAAATTTATGCTAAAATCCCATGTTCTCAAATTTATCCACTTAATAACTATTACGGGGCTCCTATATATGTAAAGGGCTATATTTGTTGCTTTGGGGAAAATTTAAAAGTATATAAGTGCTCCACTTAATTGTTAGAGAGAGATAAAATGGTATAGAAGGCTCGGTTCCTCAGAGGCAGATCCAGAGGTGGAGATGAGTGTTCGAGGAAGCTGATGTGGATGTGCTCTCATGGAAGGGAATAGAAGGAGGTGAGATGAGACGAAGGAGAAAAGTCAAGCCGTGAAACAATCTCACTGAAAGTCTCAGGTGGCCCACATACAGGAGTTCTGAAAATGAAGCTGCCTCCATTTGAATGAGAGGCTCTGGTCTTCATATGCCCTCAAAGACCAGTCATTGAAAACAAGTGCCATAAAAAAAGTTGGCATGACCTTGGGAGAGCCCTTCTTTCTGCTGAGCAGTCTCTGATGAGAGTTGGTATTTGAGAGCTGTCTACAGACATCACTCCCAGCAGCAGTAGTAATATATTCTTAACTCTTGAAGGTAGATCTAGCTGGTACATCCCAGCACAAAGCATGGACAGGAATGCAGCTAACTACAACCTATAGTAGAAAGTGACAGTGTCTTAAGTTTTATAAAAAGACTGTAGATAAACATTATTTATAATACTGAAACTTTTGAAATGACTTAAGTGTTTGAGAAGAAGTGACCAGTTAGACAAATTATGGAATAGCCAGACAATAAAAGATTGTGCAGACATTAAATATCATACTTTTAAAAAATATTTAAGGAAATATAAACTGTGTAGTAAATGGTGCTAGGAAAAGGGGCAGCATTCTTTAAAAACTGGAGGGAAATGTACCACCTCAAAACAGTGGTCATCTCTGGATGGGATTAATAGTCCTCTGTTATTTTCTTTTTCTGTTTTTCCAAATCTTTATAATTAAAGTGCATTTGCTTTCATAATCAGATAAATAACTTTTTGAAAGGGATGCAATGAAATATTATTTTCTTTCCATTTTTCAGATATTTGCATCCAGAAGGATTGCCCTCTGACTACACAATGAGTTTTCTATTCCGGATTCTTCCTGACACTCCAGAGGAGCCATTTGCTCTTTGGGAGATTTTAAATAAAAATTCTGACCCATTGGTTGGAGTCATTTTAGATAGTAAGTATATTCATTTATATGTTTGCACACACATGTATGAGTAATGTATATGGCGTGCCATCTTGCCTGTTTTGTGTATGCTAGACCCTTGAACAACATGGGTTTGAAATGCATGAGTCCATTTCTACAAGGATATTTTTTTTTTGATAAATGTGGTACAATACTGTAAATGTATTTTCCTTATAATTTTCTTAATAACATTTTATTTTCTCTAGCCTACTTTATTGTAGGAATATAATATATATATAATACATACTACGTATAATATACAGAATATATGTTGATCAACTGTTTATGTTATAAGTAAGGCTTCTGGTCAGCAACAGGTTATTAGTAGTTAAGATTTTGGGAGTCAGAAGTTACATGTGGATTTTCAACTACTTGAGGTGTTGGTGCCCTTAAGCCCCACATTGTTCAAAGGTCAAGTGTATATTGTAGAATAACTCATTTATCTTAAGCCATGAGTAAATACTAGCAATAAATTATGTAACAGTTGTTTCATTCATTCATCCACTCATTCTTTCAGCATGTATTCACTGAGTTTCTACTATGTGCCAGCACTAGGCTCTGGGATTCAGCAGTGGGCAAGGCAGAAAGAGACAATTACTGGGGTAGTAAAAATTGCAGGAAGAGCTAAGATGATGGTGGGAGGAGTCGGAGGGTTACTGGAGGGGAGGAACAAGAATCATTTTTTGCACATGGATATGGTAAGTATAAGATTTTTCTTTTGGGTTCCTTGGCCCAATTCCAATGTGTGTGTTGGGGGGTATGAGGAGGGTGGAGTTTTACACACAACACCAAGCAGTTCTCAGATACCAGCAGGATGCTGAGAATTCAACTCAGTTCTAGTACTGTCTACCCAGAGATAACATCAAATCCCATAGGTTAAGGGTTCAGTCCCATAAGACTGTGCCCTCCCACCACCCCTTTCAGACTCCAGTTGCAAGCCAGGCTGTTACCTGTGTTTCTGATTGACTGGTTATAAATCAGAGGTTCCAAAAAAAAAAAAATCAGTCAATCAATTAATCAATCAGAGATTTCTCTGAGCTCTTCTTGGGCTTGATTAATTTGCTAGAATGGCTCACAGAACTTAGAGAAACATTTTGTTTGCTAGATTACTGCTTTATTATAAAAGGATATAACTCAGGAGCAGCCAGCTGGAAGAGATGCTTAAGGCAAAGTATGTGGGAAGAGGCACAGAGGGTCCATCCCTCTCCAGGCAAGCCACCGTCCCTAGTCCCCAAGTATTCAGCAACCCAAAAGCTCTCTGAACCTCATCCTTTGTATTTTTATTGAGGCTTCGTTAAATAGGCATGATTCATTAAATTATTGGCCATTGGCAACCAAACTCAATCTCTAGCTACTCTCCACTCCCTCGAAGTCCGGGAAAGAACTGGGATTGAAAGTTCCAGCCTGGTGATGATAGTATTAAAGAGGGCACGTACTGAATGGAGCACTGGGTGTTATACGCAAACAATGAATCATGGAGCACTACATCAAAAACTAATGATGTAATGTACGGTGATTAACATAACATAAAAAAAAAAGTTCCAACCCTCTAATCACAGGGTTGGTTCCCTTGGCAACGAGCCCTCCACACTTAGGTTACAGGGCTTTCTAAAAGTCACCTATATTATTAACATAACAAAAACATCTTTATAGCTCTTATCACAGAAAATTCCAAGTGTTTAAGGAGCTGTGAGCCAGGAACCAGGGACCAAGACCAAATTGTATTTTTCATATATATTTGAATGACCAAATATATATTTCTTATAAATTGCAATATCACAATGCCTAGTTCATATCCCAGAAAAAATGCCAGATTTGCAGCAGCATATTTTGGGAAGAATTCTAGGATGGGGATATACATTTGCAATTGTATATGTGTCTGGAAAGAGAATAGGTCTGAAGACTGGGACAGTCCATTGTTTGGAGGTTGGAAAGATGAGGGGAACCAGTGAAGGAAGCTTCTCGATCACATGCTCTTGGATGTCACACATGATAATCATTTAAGAGGATCGTCAAGTTTTCAGTTAATGTCACTGAGTTTTCTAAATACCTTTTTTGTTTAGGATTCCAATCAAGCTAGGAACCAAAATGTAGTGGCTATTGTTAGGTGCTAACTCACATATTTGGATAAGGAATGTATTTAACATTTAAGCTTATCTCCAACTAGTATTTGTTTTTTTTTTTTTTAAGATTTTATTTATTTATTTGACAGAGCGAAAGAGCACAAGCGGGGAGAGCAGCAGAGGGAGAGGAAGAAGCAGGCCCCCTGCCGAGCAGAGAGCCTGATGCGGGACTCCATCCCAGGACCCTGGGATCATAACCCGAGCCGAAGGCAGATGCTTAACCATCTGAGCCACCCAAGCACCCTCCAGCTAGTATTTGTAAAAGGACTTCTCAGTACATGGAAATGAATCAACAACTAAATATGATATTGTGAAAGCATTTTGCATCCATACTGAAACTAAAGGAAAGCTGTAGATTAAAAGGCTATAAATAATTAACTCTGTATTCACATGGGACTTGAAAACAAAGAAATCTCTCAAAATGATTAAGACTAGCTTATTCCCAGGCACCTGGGTGACTCAGTTGGTTAAGTGTCTGACTCTTGGTTTTTGGCTTAGGTCACGATCTTGGGTTCTGGAATGGAGCCCCACATCAGGCTCCATGCTCAGCAGGAAGTCTGCTTCTCTGTCTCTCCCTCTGCCCCTCCCACCCCCACACGGTCACACTCTTGCACGCTCTCTCTCTCTAAAATGAATAAATAGGGCGCCTGGGTGGCTCAGTTGGTTAAGCAACTGCCTTCGGCTCAGGTCATGATCCCGGAGTCCTGGGATCGAGTCCCACATCGGGCTCCCGGCTCAGCGGGGAGCCTGCTTCTCCCTCTGACCCTATCCCCTCTCATGCTGTTTCTCTCTCTCTCTCTCAAATAAATAAATAAATAAAATCTTTTAAAAAAATAATAAATAAATAAATAAATAAAATCTTTAAAAAAAAGACTAATTTATTCCCTTTGAAATCACAGTGAATAATTAAATTGTAACCTAGGAATTAATTAGTGAAAAAATATTCTTTTTTTTCTTTTTTGTAATTCCTTGTCCTGAAGATTAGGAAGATTTAGTTTGTGGATTTAGTTTGTTCATAATAAAAGTCATATTGGGATATCACTTTGGGGGTGGTATAAGTTGCATGTCCTGGAAAAGTTGGTTGCTCCAGGGGTTAATAAAGCAAAGGGTTTGGTTTCTAGGTCTTAAAATAGGATTAACTTTATTCTCCCTTTTTTTTCTGCTTCTACTCCCAGCTTTAGACAAACCATCTCCCGGGAGGGTATTGGGGATGAGAGTATAGGCAAGTAAGTCCAGAGGAAAAATATGTGTAGGGGTCCTTACTTCACTATCATCACCACATGATTAAGTCAGTTAATTGGCCAACTGAAAGCCTGGGGCAACCCAAGGACTATAGATCATTTCCTTCCTTACTTATCATTTTGTTCTAAACACAGCCTCTGCCTTGACTTGAATTTTATAAAAATTATTTACCCATTATAATACTTTCTAAACTGTTTTTGTTTTTCTTTGATTAGATGGTGGTAAAACCTTAACATATTTCAACTATGACTACAGTGGGGATTTTCAAACTGTTACTTTTGAAGGACCTGAGATTAGGAAAATTTTCCATGGTAGCTTTCACAAGGTGAGTAATGCCTTATATACATATACTCCTTATTCTGTTTGCTTTGTGCAAAGCAACAGAGATATACATTCTTTATTCTATTTGTTGTGGGCCAAGCAACAGAGAAGTGTAAAATAAATCCCATAGTGCTTTGGATTTCATATTTCAATTGGAGTAAGCTTCTTCCAACTTGGTAGTTCTAAGATGCGACCACAAAGTGTGCATTTTTACCAGGTACCCCAAGAGATGTTGATAGAAGTGGTCCAGGTTCACACTTTGAGTAACAGTGTAATAGAGGATACTACACTACTAGGAGGACACACATTATGTGTGATGTGGAAAGGATTGCTGGTCTACCCAGCCACCAGTGAAGATGAAAGCACAATCAACCAATTCATGTTAGTTTGTAGAAGATAGTTTGTACTGATATATTTATATATATACAGACAACCCATCACTACCATTATAAAAATTATTCTGAGGAGGGATTTTGTAAAGCCTGACTATAGTTTTTATTTTTACCTGGTATTTGTGATAGAACTCTGTTCCTTACGACTTCATATCTCTGAAACAGTTTTGGTGATCACTAGAGTAGCCATGCTTCCTTCCAACATGTATGGTTTCCTTTGTGTTTAGCAAATGATCCCACTGATCTCTGGGCTGTTAAGTAATGCAACTTGCCAGCGCTGCATGTAGAGCAGAACATTTATAAGTGGTGCTGCAAATAACCTTGCCTCTTGATCCTCCCTTCTGTGTGTTGAGTGAAGGAAGGGATGCTGCAGAGCAGTCTTCATCTTGGCTTCTGTCTCCTGACCTAGAACATGGTCAAGTCCATCTAATTTACACATGGTTGCTACTTTCTGGGGTCTTAAATACCCTCTCTGCCTAAGAACAACTATATACCAAGATCCTTAATCTTTTTTGCACAAGAAAAGTTACATACAAAAATTTTGTTGTTGTTGTTTAGTAGGACTGTACAACCAGAAGTATAATATCTTAAAACCACGAGATGCACGTAGAGATTTATTAGTTCATGGTTCAAAATAATCCCATTAGCATCTCTTTGTGGAGATATTGTCATTTACTCACCAAGTTCCTCTTGTCTTGAAACAATTCTTTCTTGGTTAAGCAGAGTCTATTGCAAAGTAGTCAAGAAAAATTATAAGGGAGATGTAAGATTTCATAAGTGTTAAAAACATATTGCTATCATAACATAAACGTGTAATTATCATTCCGAAGAATCATTTATGAGTCTTAGGTGCATGTTAAGCTTTACTCACCTTACTGGAAGATCTTAAAGACCTTATAAATAAGTAAGAGTCATTAAAAATCCAGTTTTAAATTTATAAAAACCTTCCAGTTTTTTAAAGTTATTAAAAAAAAAAGCCTTCTTCTACTCTTTTCAGTACTGTTAATAAAGCCAAACAGCCAGACTAACCAAAAAGAAAAGGCTTACCATGTAGTAAACTACTCCATTAATAGATATACTAATTGAAAATCTTGATGCAAATTCAATATGTAGAGATCAAATTTGATTTGCTCATAGAATTGTATTTAATTGAATACATTACCTTAGTTTCTTGTTTTTCGGTTGGCTTTAATTTCTACACTTTGAATATGAAGTGTGACCCCAAGGTCTTTCAAAAAGTTGATAATTATATAAACAGATCCTTAAATGCAATTAAAGAAGCAAAATATTTTTGAAAAGTTTTCAATGTCTCCTGTTGTAAAGCAAAAGTTGTTTGAAAAAAAAAACTTGAATATCTCCCCACAAGTAAATGGTTCTTGAAGCATGAATATTGTATACAAGGTTGTCTAGCACCCAGCATGAAAATTTCTGTAATTTGTAATAATGAAAAGTATTCCAAGTTTCAAAAACGTATGAGTCAAATTAGATCCTTCTAAATGATCATAAGAGAGATGTTAATAGGAAGGAAGTAATGTGGGGGATTTACTCCAGCAGTGTTTCTCCAGTTGAATAATTGTTTAACTCCTCTTCGAAGGAAAAAGAATTCTCAAGAGCCTCTACTGTTGACTTAAATTATTTTTATCATGATTTAACATAAAACATTAAATGAAAATTGATATACATCCTTATGCTTTCAGTTCCTATGCAACTATGAAACAAAAATAAAGATCAAATAAAACCAATAATGTTAATGGGACACCTGGGTGGCTCAGTTGGTTAAGTGTCTGACTCTTGGTTTCAGCTCGGGTCATGATCTCAGGGTTCTGAAATCCAGCCCCCTGTCAGGCTCCCTGCTCAGCGGGGAGTCTGCTACTCCACTCTCTCTCTCTTTGCCCCTCCCCCTGCTCATGCACTCTTTCTCTCTCTCTCTAAAATAAATAAATCTTAAAAAAAAAATAAAGTTAAAAGTAATATTATTTTAATATGAAAGATGATGTTTCACTGATATTGACCTCTGCTCACAATGCAAATACATTACTAGCTGCTATAACTCCCGTAACTATTGCCTAGTACCTTTTTTCTTTGAACTAACATACCTTCCCTTATGTAGCTATTTGTACCTTTTTTTGGCTTTCACTTAATGTGAAATCATTATTTGCCTATTAATTCCACTCTTTGAGCTCCCGAAAAAAGTAGCCTTCCACAAAAAAGAAATACCCACGAGGCAAACACCATCATAAATTGAAACGCATTTATAAGCACTGAAATTTCATGGCAGCACTTGCTTACAATGTGGTTTATTTAAAATATGCTTACCTTTGACTCTCACCTCCAGAATAACACACATTTTTACAAATCCTCACAAAGAATGTGTAGACTCCTGAATATATTACCATAGACATGCAGATTCTAGAAATTTCACTTTGAGAAAACTGTACCACACATTAAGGCAAAGAGCTTTATTTCTTTTGGTCCTGGAGTCACCAGAAAGCATTCCTCTTCCCTTTCAGATTCTAGATCTCCTGTCTTCATCTTAACTTAAATAAATATTATCAAAATGTGGTTTGCCTACAACTGGTAATACCGTACAAAGCTTTTGCTGGTAAATCACTTAGCATTTTTTGTTTTAATATTTTTGTGTTCATTTTAATGTGCATTCAGAAAAGGCCACACTAATCCTGTCACTTCAGGATGTTGATGCTTTAGATGAATGCTAGATCGTGATTCCTTTCAAAGTTATTAAAAAGTAATTTCAAAGTAAATAAAAATAGAAGTGCTACCTGAATGTGGGACAATCATGGTGGTGGTAAATGTAGAACCTCTCACTTCTAGCAAAATGCATAGTGATAGAATTCCTTCTCTTGCCTGCTTTTTAGTGACGAGTCATGCAATTATGTAAGTTTGATTGATATTTCTTCCTACTTCCTACCTCCTAAAACATCTTTACTTTTACCCAGATACACATTGTTGTCAGCAAGACTTTGGTCCAAGTGGTTATTGACTGCAAGCATGTGGCTGAGAAGGCAATAAATGCCTCAGCTAATATCACGTCAGATGGTGTTGAAGTCCTGGGAAGAATGGTCAGATCAAGGGGACCAAATGGAAACTCTGCACCAGTAAGTGGATAAACAAGTGGAGCTGTGTTGTTATTATAGAAAAAAAAGGGTTTTCCAGGGGAAAAATTTGGTAAGAGAATGAATGGATAGATGGGTGGATGATTGGATGATGGCTGGATGGCTGGATGGATGGCTGGCTGGATGGCTGGATGGCTGGATGGATGGCTGGCTGGCTGGCTGGCTGGATAAATGGAAGAATAACAGCATCTTTAAATGAAATAAAACATTCAAAGTTCTTGGCAGTATACTTCTGCTATATTATAATAAGAATGCTCTGAGAATTAGACTAGTTTATTTTCTAAAGGCATTTAAAAATGCAAATAGTAAAATACTTATCAAATGACTTATGGAATAAAAAGTTTGCTAATGAGAATCAAAACTGTAAATCAGAACTCTAAGCAAATATAAATTCATGCAAAATATGTGACTATTATACATAGTACACACAGGAAATTTATTTAAGTTTCTCAGTTGGGTTAGATTTGGGCATTATTAAACTAGATTTTTGTTATTGCTAATGTGAAGTTTACCCTTTAATCATAGATTATTTAAGTAACAAATCATTCTAAGATAATATATTTTTCATCATATAACAGAATTTAAGACAAGGAGACTTCCAATTGGCAAAGAAATCACATTCTTTTCTCTCACTACCCACAAAAAAAGAATAGTGTACACAAGCTTTTGTTTTAACACCATGTGTTCACAGCTAATTAGCAATATTCTCTAATTTGAGTCATTTCATAATTAGAACCAATTAGCCTGGAGGGCATTTTATTTTTGTAAATAATTCCAACTATTTTAATGAACATTTCTATGTAACAGAATCATCAGGTTAATTATGAGTCACTATTACTGTCTTGTGCTTTCTAGATCTGTAACACTAGCCAGCTATATGGAACTGGAGAATGCCCTGATGGTTCTGAGTCTTTTTAAGTTGAAGATCACTTTGTACAAATGAAATCTTCTAGTATGTCAAATAAATAAATAAGATTGAAACAGACCCATGCTAATCGAATGGGAGAGAGGACATGGAGTATCAGGTTACCCCATCCTCCAAAGGTCCCTAAGGGAACTTCAAGAAGCACGGTTCTAAGTCCACTTCTAGTATGACCCATTCACTTTATATACCTGCAAACTGTCCCAGAGTGGTAAAGTGATTTACTTTGGGACATTTCACTATTTAGTGGCGTTTCTCTTTGTGGTACAATACAAGGGAAATCCTTGTGTACATAGGGGAGCATTAATGCTTTCAGACTTTGATAGATGTGTGCTAGGTTAACACTTAGCTTTGATGTATCTTTATTTTTTTAAATTTAATTTTATTATGTTATGTTATTCACCATGCAATGCATCATTAGTTTTTGATGTAGTGATCCACGATTCATTGTTCTCATATAACACCCAGGGCTCCATGTAGTACGTGCCCTCCTTAATACCCATCACTGGGCTAACCCATCCCCCCCAAAAAACCCTCACTTTGTTTCCTGGAGTCCATAGTCTCTCATGGTTTGTCTCTCCCTCTGATTTCCACCGCTTCATTTTTCCCTTCCTTCTCCTAGTGTCCTCCATGCTCTTCCTTATGTTCCACAAATAAGGGAAACCATATGATAATTGACTTTCTCTGCTTGACTTATTTCACTTAGCATAATCTCCACCAGTCCCATCCATGTTGATGTACATGTTGGGTATTCATCCTTTCTGATGGCTGAGTAATATTCCATTGTATATATGGACCACATCTTCTTTACCCATTCATCTGTTGAAGGGCATCTCGGCTCTTTCCACAGTTTGGCTATTG